AGCTGAAGTGTCCCTCTACACATTAAAGTACTTGGGAGCTCAATAGAAAGTCCAGAAGACCATTTTTGAACCTGACCAAAAGGCTATGCCAAAACTGGGAAACTGCCTGAAAATGGCTAAGTCTGGCAACGTGTTTGTCAAGCCTACTTTGGAGCTCAATTTGACAAGCATGGATGCGAGTCAAGTCCAGGGGCCTTTACCACGTTAAATTAAGTATTTTTTTATACAAAGTCAAGGCATTGAATGAAAGATTGAATATCTTTAAGGCTTCAAACAAAAGGCTCGAAGTTGCTACGAAGGCTGTTTTTCTGGCAGCTTGCTTGTGCTCGAAGTCTGCCAGAAAAACAGCATTCGTAGCAACTTCGACCCTTTTGTTTGAAGCCTTAAAGATATCCAATCTTTCATCCAATTCCTTGAATTTGTATAAAAACATACCTAATTTAACGTGGTAGAGGCTCCTGGACTCGACTCGCATTCATGCTTCTCGAATTGAGCTCAAAAATAGGCTTCACAAACACGTTTCCAGACTTAGCCATTTCTAGGCAGTTTCCCAGTTTTGGCATAGCCTTTTGATGAGGTTCAAAAATGGTCTTCTGGACTTCCTATCGAGCTCTCAATCACTTCAATATGTAGAGGGACACTCCAACTTCAAAACAAGTCATTAGTCTTCAACTTCCATCCAGCCAATTGTATGATATGAATATCCAAAGTAGGCACCATGAACTGTTTTTACACTGAAACAACATATTAGGTCGACCGGATCCTATAAGAGGTCGACCGAATCCTAAATGAGGTCGACCGGATCCTATATGAGGTCGACCGAATCTATATGAGGTCGACCTAATCCTAACTGAGGTCGACCGGAAAGTGCAAGTCACCGTGACATGCATGTCACCGTAGGCACACCCTAATATTTTTATTTATTATTGGTTACTTCCAAAACTTGTTAGGTCTTTGTTAGGAGCATCATATCCAATTTATCCTCAATATTCTCTATGTACCCAAAGGTTTCCTACTAACTATATCTGTATCTGATGATATCATAATTGTTGTTTTGATTTACACCAATAAAATTGGTTTAACAAGTTGCCAATTGCCCACAGAAACAACTAACCAAACAAGCGGTCTATCAACACCTGCTAACTTTTGCACCAAATTAATTATATAATGATTAGTACAAGGTGGGAGCATATCTCAAGAAAAAAGCTTGAATGCTATATTGATATATTTGTTGGGTGTCCACTAACTAGTGGTGGAGGGTGGGATTTACCTTTTCAATGCATAAAGTATTACTAAATAAAAAAGTATTAATAAATAAAAACTACATTAATATGGTACATGCTTTTATTACATTTCCCTGATTCTGGATGTATCAAGTCTAAAACCACAAATTTTATATAAAATTGTCTGAATTTTAATTACTGATATTTAAATGAATATGACGACATGATAAGAATTACAATTAATTCATACCATTTACTTATAAATATTTTATTTTATGTTTATTGAGTAAATTTATGAAGTAATCCCGACAATTTCAAAAAATAATTAAAATTAAGCTATTATAAATGATTTTTCGCATTAATAAATAGTTTAGAGGTGTAGAAACAACCCATGATCATTATGGACACGCCCATCAATATGAATCAATCCAGCAATTTAATAATACAGCAATCCAAGTTTCACTGTCGTGATCGTGTAGGCTTAGCATTTTGTGTGGGGATGGGGTGCCTTAATATAATTTAATTAAGAGCTTATCACCACACAAACCATGGGAATTGGGTACAAGACAAAAAGCCTAATCAGCTCTTAGCCAACAAATGTCAAGAGAAGAACAACTAAATGTTAAAGAAGTAGGAAACTAGTTTAATAAAGTTGAGATGAAACATGAGAAACTATAGCCTGTATTTTTTAACCACACCCGCTAATCTTCTCTTACTGGTTTTAATTTAAAAGGCTTCCGTTCATCCAGAGAATGTAGATAAAAGGTTTACAGCAAAAAAACACTAATGGGTGGTTAAAAGAAAGCACTACTAGTTCAATAGTGTATACCTTTTCATCAAGAAGGGTTACACCCAATCGTTGTTGCGTAACCATATACAATTGTAGTCTTCTAAGTTCATGTTTTTGTCATGATGATTTTATATTGAAGCAACAAAGATAGGCTTATGGTGGATTGCGATTCACTTTCGTCATTCAATCCTTCCATGATAGTTTGAGATTTGAACAACGAAAGTTAAGTAAGAGAGTTTGATTTTTTTTCCGGTGTAAAGAGAGAAATATATAAAATAGCGGGAGAAAAAAATAAAATGTGCAGAAGCAACATACATGATTCAACATCTAATTAAGTACGGCGAGTATGACTTAATCCCTTAGAATTTTGGAGAAAGAAAAACTTTGTTAGACAACCTCACACCTTGGTTTGGGCCTGACGATAATACAAAGGTTTGAACCCTACTGACATCTTTGTTTACCTTAAGCCTTTGAAAGTCAATGTGATTGAACTTAAAATTGGAAATATGTTGAAATTGTTTTCATGGGCGGATCGAAAAGCAATTCTAAATATTTTATTATTCAATTTTTTAAGATGTGAAAGAACCTAACATTTTTTCAAAGAAATTAAGGGAATCACTCATCATTACATCCAAAACTGAAGGGAAAATCATTCATTTAGATTAGATGACATGGTTGACAAAATTAGTGAATAAGATTTCAATCCAACCCATGATCTGCATATAACTCAATGCAATTACCCCAAATCATATTAAGGCCCAATATTTTCTTTGGGTCACCCATGAACCTTACGGATCCCGAAAATTTCCTAACGGCCCATTCAATAACCCAGGCCCACACCCAAAATTCGTCACAATTATTAGAAGAAAAAAGGGAAAATAAAAAACAAATCAAAACAAGAAAAATAGAAAAACTCCCTAATCCAGAACTTCACCCAGAATTTCATCGAGTTATCCATTATTCCATCAATGGCTGCTCCACTCGCTCTCTCCAACTTCCTCTCCTTCCTCTCGCCTCCATCCTCCATCTCGCCGCCGCCTCACGTCTCCTTCTTCCCTTCCACCTACTCCTCCCCGTCTTCGCTTGTCGCGGCGCCGCGTCGGTTCCCCGGCGGCGAGCTTTCTTCGGCGGCGTCCCCGAGCACTGTCTGCTTCAACTCGTCGTACAATGTCCAGATAGTGGTGGAAGAGAACGAGCCGGAGGAGAGGCTCCTGAACAGGTTCAGGAGGGAAGTGATGAGAGCCGGAGTGATTCAGGAGTGCAGACGGCGGAGGTACTTCGAGAACAAGCAGGACGAGAAGAAGCGGAGGGTTCGCGACGCTGCCAAGCGGAATCGCAAGAGGTAATATTACGACAATCGAATTGAACTGAACGAAACGAGCGAATGCATTGTTGTTTCTGTTTGCGTACTGTAACATTTTAGCGAGTATTTGAAATTTTGGGGGTTTAGGGTACTGGAATTCCGTGGGCGAATTCTTCTATGGGAGGGGAGAGGATTTTTGCTTGGACCTGGATGAATGGAAGAAGTTATAAATGTTGTTGGATGAGGGAATTTGTCTATTGGGAGGAGATAGAGCGTTTAGTTTGGATGGAATGAAGAACTTAGAACTCTTGTTGTGTGAAATGTAAGGATGAAATCTGTTGTATTAGGCTCTTGCTCTGTGTCTGAGAGGGTTTTGTCTTGAAATTGCGCGAGGAAGGAAGTTAGAAGCTGTTAGTTGAGTTCATATGTTATTAGCAAAAGGGGAAACACACACGGTATTAGCCTGATTGTGATTGATCATGAGTAGCAGAATAGTGTGTTAGTAGTACCAGTAAGCAGCTACTTTATTGTCGATTCCTGCATTCATTTGGGAAGTCTGCTATCTCTCCTCGTCTGGCATTTTGCTTTTGATCTCACCGTGAGAGCTCTACATCCGGTCCGAGAGTATCGAAAGGCAAAATCTACTCTGCCAAAAACCACAAATTATCTGAAATGCATGCCTGCTCATGACCCTGGTTATAGTCCTTTTTAGGCTTTTCCCATCTAGCTGGCTGTACTCTTTTCTTCTTTCTTTTGCTTGATTGTTCAATTTGGAGGCTCCGAAGTGTGCATGAAGTGATGGAAACTTGAGGCGATTTCCTGCTTTAATTCCAAGAGGGTATAGATTAATGTGGAGTGCTTAATAAGTGGGGTTTCGCTTGTTCTATCTTAATACGATAATTGATATCGTTACGTATTTTCCAGGCGTCCATTTTCGAGATTTTCGAACCAGAGCACCGCGCCACCAGGGTCCGAGAACAAGAAAAACGACGATGACGGAGACAACTGGGAAGTCCCTGCTGGGCCGATTCCTTACTGAGTGCTTTCTCTCTTTCGTTCACAGATTCCTCTTCTTTTGTGATTTGTAGAATCTTCCTCCCTTGTGCAATGTAAGAGGCTCCCTTATTCAAACACAACAAAAGAAATGCAAGAGGCTCCTTCTGTTTTCAGCTTTCCTTTTCTTACCTCCCAGCCATTGAAGTTGCCCAAGCAAAGTGGGTTTTATGGTTTGCTTCCTTTGGCTGACTCTCTCTGTTTATGTCCCTGTGAATCCCCAATTTGGATGATACCTTGTGTCTTTCTTGTATGTAATGTTGCATGAATTAAACAGGTCTATTCCACCCAGCTGGATGGATGTATTATAGTTCTTTGGTATTCTTGGGTGAGTTATGGCTGTATAGCTTCACCACGACCTGGTGTAGAGAGCCAGAAATGATAGTTGTCTAGATGCACTTCCATTACTCTCCTCACTTGGTCTCATTCGGTTGTTGACTGACGCACAAACCTTTAAAATTGGTGTGCTAGTTTGCTGCCTCGTCCTTTAATAATGTCGAATCCGTTGACTAGGATTCGATCTCTGACCATGGGAATTAAGTTTACTTTGCAGTATCAAGTTTGAGCAGCAAAGAGCAAACATTTGCCATGGCGATTAGACGCACTTGATGATATAGGTTGACCAACATTGTCTATTAGGTTGATTGTTCCACGATATGTGAACACATGAGTATGCAAATGTAACGACATAAAATCTCACCAATGAATAGTTGTTGATTACCAATTTATGTGCCATTTTAGATTATCTACTCACCTAGTGTTTTTGGCATATATTCAATTTCACCTGAAGTAACTAACACAAGTACTAAACTCTCCAAAGTAAAACATATTATTTCAGCTTTTGAATTTTTACTATTTACCAATAGTAAAAAACTTATTCTTACGAGTTACTAACTACCCGCCATTAATTAAGCGCATTTTTTAAAATTGATTTACTCGCGCTGACGGCACAACTTGCAGTTCCGTAGCTGCCTAGCGAAAGCTCACTTTAGAGTTTAGACTTTAGACTTAGAGAGAGTTGCAGATATTTTCATTATCCATTCCCGCCAGGACCTCCGTCTTCTTCCGTCGCCGGCTGGCAACTCTACTCCATTTGCCGGCATTATGCATCTCTACTTACTTTCTTCCCGCGTCTCTTTCTCTCCGCCCGTCTTCTGGCATGCATCTTCTTCCGCCACCCTCCCCTTCCCCGCCCCGGCAACCGCTAAACCCCTCCCTCCGCCGTCTTCGCGGCCGGCGAAGAGCCTCAAATTAGAAGCTGCAATTCCTCCGTCGAACAGCAAGTGCGCTCTCGAGTGCCCTCATTTCCAATCGTACGCTTTCTTCCCATCTTCCCCAATTTCCCCGCACTCATACAATTTCCGTTTCTACTGTGCTTCTGATAAGACGCGGGTTGGGGTTTCTTTTCATTTTTTGTTGATTTGTTCTTTCAGATGCTCAGGCTGCACTCACGAGCTCGACCTCGATCGTCCCTCCGTGGTTGATGAGGCGGCTGAGTTCTTCAGCAAACTCGGAGTCTCGGATTTCACTTTCGATAGTTCTAGACTTGTAAGAAGGCTCTAAAAGTTAAATGAACGGAGATTGATTTCACTCCCGGATACTGATTCTTTGCTTCTTGTTATAAAGTGGGAATGGAGGTGTCGAGCGAAGCTTGCCGTCCGGGGTTCGTCGGCGACCCCTTTGATTGGACTGTACGAGGAGGGGACTCACAACGTGGTCGACATTCCCCATTGCAAAGGTTTAATAAAAAATCTCGATTGGATTGTTGCTCAATTTGGTGTTTGTTTGTGAATTCTCTTTTCTTAGTCTCCTTTTGTTTCTGCAGCTCATCATCCAAGAATCAATGCTGCTGTTGAACTGTTGAGAAAAGGTTTTAGATGGATTTGTCTGAAAAATGCTTCTCTGATATATTTGTGTTGGAAATCAATCGCATTTCTTATGTTTTAGGGTTCTGGATATTGGGTAATAGGTATCACTGCATTGAGGATTCTGCCTTATGATGAAGATCAGGGAACCGGTGACTTGCGATATGTGCAGGTTAGCGAGTGCAGCAGCTGATATCATGTTAATTAGTGTACAGAAATCAAGCCATAATGTGTTTTTCCTCGATGAATGCTGAGAAATGATTCGGGTATTGCAGATGGCCGTTACCACTCACAACACATCACTTCCTGTCTCAGATAGATATAAAAATGGTTACCAACTGAACTAATGTGAAGCTGGTTATGAATTTTAAGGAGTTCTGGGTTTAACAAGAGTTCTCCTTTTCAACCCGTTTCAGGTAAAGTACAGGTTTCTCTAGTTTGGAATACAAGAAATGAGACCTCTCCTAGTTCTGAAAAGTTAACTGCCTTGGCTCAGGTATTCTGTTGTCCTTCCATTCCTTTTGTTTTCCATCTCTTTATATCCTTTTCCTGCTATTTCAGTTCTGATGTGGATTTAGCTATATACTTTTGATTTAGTTCTTGTGGAGAAATGGAGGACCAAGGAGCAACGAAAATATCATCCACTCTGTGTGGGCTAATTTCCAGACATCGTCTAACAATGTGAGTTAGGATGACTCTATTTTTATAGCTGAAAAGGATATTATCAAATTGCCTACTGTGTTTTCTGATAGAGCGTACTAGTTAGAGAAAGTGAGGGCAAGAATTTGTTCAACAGCTGAATATAAGTCTCTGGCCGTTGCTTAAAATTAAGTTGTTTGGAAAATGATGCAGATTATCTTCGGGAATAGGTGGAGACATCTTTTAGGAGAAATGGATTTGTGGGAGCATGTTGGAGGTATCGATGTATCCTTGGCTCCATCTAGTTTTGGCCAAGCCAATACACGCGTGAGAACTCTTTAACAATATCATATACATTCATCATAGTTTTTGTAATGCACATATCATTTTCCTCTTGGGATTCCAATTCTATCAAATTACATCTGTGCTTCTTTTCAGGCTTTTGATTCCTTGCTGTGGAAGTTACAAAAATATGTACCTCGAAGATCATCAGTTTCTGACTTGTATGCTGGAGCTGGAGTAATTGGTTTGTCAGTTGCCGCCAGTAGAAAATGCAGGTAAGACCCTTAATTACACCTCTCAATGCTCTCGTGGTCTTGGATGTTTAGCCATGACGAACTAAATGAATGGCTCTGATATTCTGCTTTTTTCAGATCTGTCAAGTGCATCGAGGTTAATAAAGAGTCAAAACTGTCCTTTGAGAAGACAGTTGAACGCCTTCCAAAGTCTTTAGATGGCAGCATCAGCTGGCACCAAGCAGACACTTCTGCGGTGAGTGCTACACTCCAGTTTTCTTAAATATAGTCTCAACTCTTAGCCTTCACTAGTTACCAAAATAGATAATGTGTAGCTTCCATTTTGAAAAAAGTGACTAATTACATCTAATTTGAATGCATAGGAACCTCTTTCTTGGCTCATGGGGTCTGAAGTGGTCATTGTTGATCCACCAAGGAAGGGACTGGATGCATCTCTTGTCGATGCATTGAAGACTATATCCTTCCGGAATCTTAAACCAATGTCATCAACTGATGGGTAGGCTTCACTTCTCTGCTCTCTAAGCATGATGTTCAGGAATCAAACTCAATACCAGTTGAAGTTGTGATGCTCACAAGAACTTTTCCCCCTGTTATTTCAGCTCTCAAGTTAAAGAAGAAAAAAGACCATGGGTCTTACGTGCCAGAGAATCTTCAGTTTATGTTAGGAGTTCAACAACAGCGGATGGACCCCTAGTTCTCCCTCAAACGCTAATCTATATAAGTTGTGGTTGGGAGAGCTTCAAAGAGGTACTTTTTCCTGGAAGACATTTACCTTTCAACTTGTCAAACTAGTCTAGGGTATGTACTATGTACGAACTACGAAGGCTAATAGTGCTGCTACCTTTGACAGGATTGCAAAGCGCTGTTGTCTACGAACAAATGGCGGTTGGAACACGCCCATGGTTTTAATTTCTTTCCTGGAACTCAGAGGTACTGCCTCTACTTAAGGTTGAGAGGATGGGCTCTTGTTTTTTTCTTTCTCTTTCGTCAGATTTTCTTATGGACATCATTTTGGTAACATTTGCAGCATAGAGGTTCTGGCAGTCTTTCAGAGGGGTAAAGTAGCTAACCTCAAGAAAAAGAAACTAGGAAAGAAGAAAAAACGCTCATGAGCATCTTGGAAAATTGGTGTTACATATCAGGAAGCTTCACTGATCCCAAATGGGGACTAGAAGATGAGCTAAGGAAGTGATGCAGAATTTTCAACTAATCAAGAAGAGCTCAAGATGCGTGTAACAAGCATACTTCTGAGATACCCCTGTATCCGCGAATGTAGCAGATCACAGAAGCCATTTTGTTGTGTATGCTCTTTTCTACACGAAAAGAATTATGTGTTTGAGTTTATCATATCAAACTGAGATGCCTTATGGGATTCTGGCACCATCTTGTATTTTTGATGAACCCCCTGTAAAAATTGATTGAAAGAATAGGAATCTTATTTAGGAAATGAGAAGCTCGATATTTTGAGGTTTTAGTTGTGCTTTCCTCTGCTCTTGGATCTTGCAAGATGAGGGAAGGCTGTCAAAATGTTATGTGCCCTTAAATCCTGCCGAGTCAGGATGCCAACCACCGGAGGAATCTGCAAATCAAGCAGCTGGTAGGATCAGTATTATGTATACTATAACAGGTATGTTTTCTGCAGAAAACTTTTCAACTTTACCAAATTTTACTTACCCCTGCAGCTTGATACTTAGGAACCACAAGCAAATGCCGAAGCCCGACTTGCCTGAAGATCACCATTGCCTTTGCTACTGACATGCTTTCAACCACTGTGAAAGGAGTTGAATTGGTTAGAGGATGCAAATCAACGTACATTTCCATTTCTTCCCTGGTCACTGCCACCTCTTCAATCCTGCCTTCTCTCTCAGCCAGGTCAACCGAGGAGAACTTTTCCCTTACTTCCCACTCATCTGTTCTTCTCTTCTCTTGCAGGAACCACTTCTTCTTCAACACTTGAACCAGATGAGCTCTTAGAATCAGCCCATGTATCTCAGTTGCTCCTGCTGCTGCAACTCCCAATGGCGGCACAACTCCTTCATCCACAACTGGAAACCCATGGTGGGATGTGTTTCTAAGCACATCAACAATCTTCGATACCTTCTCTACTCCACATAAGGTAACTACTGGCTCTTTGGCATCAACAAGCTCTGCAACTGTGAAGTTTCTCATCCACGGCTCAGGATTAGCATCCAAGAACGGCAATCCTTTCAGCTCCAGGATTATGTCGTATATGCTTGGATTGAAGCTATCCCCTACAGATTTCGCTATGAGTAACACTATCATTGTTATGGGGAGCAACAAGAGGTTGTTGGTGAGTTCGAGGAAAATCACACAAAGGGAGACCGTCATTCTCATTGATCCAGCCATGAGTGAAGCTGCACCGAGAACTGCATAAAGGCCTTGGTCGATTTTGGTGTAAGATCCCATGGCGAGTGCAAGCAGGCGGCCATAAGCGGATCCCATTAGGATGATCGGGAGGAAAAGGCCAGAAGGTACAGCAATGCCAAAAGTGAATAGTCCTAGAATCCAGTACAGAATGAAGAAAATGATGAGAGACATCGGTTGAAACTCGGTTGGAGTGTTGGTGGAGAAGATATTCCTCACTGCATCATCATTCGTGGTAAGAAGGAGAGTTGCAAGGTCATTGTAGTGTCCATCTGGGCAGTTAAATTGCTTGAAGTTGCCTGACCTTGTGTTGGTTGGGCAGGTCTCAGGCAGAGAAGGGTCGCAGGGCTGGCATTTCGCTAGGAATGGGAGGCAGTAGAGACACACTGAGGTGAAGATAGAGACAGTTAAGGCTAAGAGCAGCTTGTGAAACTTCCCTTTCCTGCATCATATAAACGAAGTTTGGTGGTTATTACGAATTTACGATTGACTCACCAATGGGGAACTTATGAAGAAGAAGTTAGCTGGAATGAAAAGTGTGGCTTACTCGTTGATGAGATTGTACAGCCTAAGCACCTTGTGAAGCAGATAATTGTACAGACTCCCCAGAACTCCACCAATGACCCCAATCAATACTACTGGTATGACATCCATCACATGATACCTCACTTCCACACTGCTCACATCAAACATGATCAACCCACCACTCCCAAACAGTCCACATCGCCCTGAATTGCAGATCTCGATGAATGCTCTAAGGATCACCACGACCACAGCCGTGCTGAAGAAAGTCCTCCACAGCAATGCACTCCTCCACCAGGTGGCAACTTCCTCGAGGGCGAATAGCACGCCACCGACTGGAGACCTGAAAGCTGCACACACACCTGATGAAGCTCCACAGGTTATGATGTCTCGTCTGTCCCTGTCGTTGTTGAAGTATCGAAGCCATCGCCACTTGAGGCGGTAGTTGTCTGGGCCTCCTTGTCCAAGCAGGGAGGCAATGCAGCTGCCGATGTGGACTAGAGGGCCTTCTTTGCCAAGGTCTAGCCCTGCGGAGACTGCTCCAATGCTTCCAAATATCTGGGAAGAAGAGAAGTGATGGAATCTTGTTTAGGTTCATTGCAGATTGTTGTGGCTACGTGTGTGCTGCCTTTTTATTAAAAAGAAGTCAAATGCTAGGATAGGATATGTAAGTCAAGAAAGCTAGCAACCATTTCGTACTTATTTACATGTGACTTGACCATTAGCTCAAAGATTAAGGCTTTACCTCTATAAGAAGTTAAGAACTAAAGAGTTTGATCCATTAGTGATCTTGCTAGTGTGTTTGGTTTACTGAAATGGGTAAATGGTTTCACTTCGTGGATTTTGAAATGAGTAGTTTGTTAAATTTGGTGGATTTTGTAACATATGTGATTTAACTCGGTAAATTATTTGATGCATGATCCTGAAATATCGATAGAAATATGTTGAAATTGTTATCAAAACTGTGTAATCAAAAGATATAATTCGCTAAGACTACCAAATGTTCTTTTAAGTGCCAGATTACTGAAGAATCCTACCTTAACAAGCAAAGTAGTGGCACCAAACATGTTTGGTGTATCAATCCCATTAAGATAAGCTTTGATCTCAGGGATCCCAGGTCCAGCTGCAGTTGGTGCAAAGAACACACACAACACAGCTGCAAAAGCTGTCAACACCAGATTGACTCCAGTCATAAACGCTACCCTGTCAAATACCTGCAAACAAACAAACAACATAACTGATTCACAATAATACCCACATGGGAAATATGGACAAGAAAAGAAAGAAGATAAGAAAGTTTGAACCTTTCTTCCTTGATCAAGTTGACAACAGCCAGAATCTTGTACCCAGCAATATTCTCCACAGCAAGGTTAATGAGAGTGGCAATTAAACCTGTCAAGCCTCCCACAAGGAAAGCCAGTGACCATTTCAGGAACACATACTGCAGCACTTGGACTTTGGATCTACTCCTCCAGTCATGCTTGAACAGATCATTCTCATTGATCCTGTAAACATGTAAATGAAACAAACAAAACCCACATCACAAAATCTGAAATTTTGCAGAACCCAGAAAGGAAAAGAAGGAAGACGAAGAGATGGGGTTTTCTCAGAACTAACTCATAATCTAAGCTCTCTATATGGGACACTTTGGTTCCAACAATGGCCAATGGGGTTGACGAGAGTGTTCTGTTTCTCTTCAGGAGTGGCTCCTGGAGTGTGCTGCTGTTGCTCTCTGGATCTCTTTCTTCCATTGCTGGTGCTTGCGTTTCTGCTGGCAATTGAGATGTGCAACAATTGTCTTCCTCCATTGATGGAGCTGCAACAGAAGCAGGCAGAGCAATGAAGGCAGAGGAGATAATGATTGGGATTATGATGCTTAATGGTGCGTAGAAAGAGTGGAGGCTATTTCATGATTTAAAATACAAAGAAAAGGGAAGAGAGAGCCAAGTGAGTAGGAACTTATATAGTAGTAGTGTAAAGGTAAGCAAGTCTAGATCTTGTATAATTTTGTCCCATTGGGTATACTGATGTATTCATACATGTATTGATTGTATTCCATTCTCCATTCTTGTATTGATTAGATCAAGGAAATAGATGAACTAGTTTATAAAAGTTAAGGTATAATTTGGGATGGTACAAAAGGTAGCCACATTTCCCTTATATTATTTAGTTTTGTAAGTACTAAACACAACACTTGACTAACTTAATGATCCCAATGGACAAAAAATTCTTACATTTTGATGTTGATTACACAATTAAATATTTGGTAATCATTGTGTTCTAAATATTATTGTTACTATATTTTGGATGAATTATAAGCAAATTGGGGTGGTGGATCAAGTTGGAATGGAACAAGTGGCTTGGTTGATTATTTTATGCAAGGGTAGTTGGCAATGTAACTTTCCAAATCACCTGGGTCATTCATTGACCTTTTGGATGAATTAACCACATAATTTTGTTTGTTCAAAAGGAAATGCAATGAGAAAGGTCAGTTTTCTCTTATGACTTCATTTTGCCAAATATAGTGTGATATGCAAGGAAATAATTATAGTTGTTGCATGCACGTGAAATCTGCATCTACAATCTTCTAGCTCTACATCTTAGCCATGTTTGTCATGGGTCTACATTGATCCATTAATTATTAAATTGGCAAAAGAGAGAAATGATGAGTAAATTGCATGTAAAGTTGATTTCGTTCCATTTCACATTTGGAAAGCTCGAAAGGTAATGACCATCCTTGCGTGTAGTTTTGTTTTGGGCTTAAAGCATCTTGGTGGATTATTGATAGTTATCAGTTTTGTAAGAAGACCTTTATGAGTTTGGAGTTCACAAAATAATTTTCGACCGTCAAGTGAGTAGAGAAATCTTAAAATGAAAAGACTAAAGATAGTAATGAATAGTTATTCTTTATGAGTGCAATAAGAGAGCATTCATCAGTGAAATGAGACAAATCAATATTTTCACAGTTGGACATGTCCAATTTTACAATTGACTGTTTTTCCCTGTCATCTCCTAATCATACAATGAGATGTCAGACCTAAACTGATCAAGATTGATTTGATTCGTATTAAAGACTCCACGTCTATGAGAGGATTCAAGATTGCAGGGATTGTGAGGACCCTTCTAAACTCCACCTTTCCTATTGGGGTTGTAATGAGCCTATCGAACTTAGGTAGATAAATTTTTAATCCCTACAAACTTTTCTTATTATAAAAATTTATTATTTATAAAAAAAATTATCCCTTCGTCGATTATAATACACTTAGCGACTACATCTTGTAATCCTCAAATAGATTACTTATTGAAAAATTAGTGACATATACAGGTAACTTTCCTAACCATATGTGATTACTCAATTAAATCTAAAAGAACTAAAAGAGTATGGGGCAAAGGAGATGTCATTTCCATGATGTGTTGGACAATATTCCTAATCCAAATCTCTTTCATTTATTTCTTACATACCCAAAGTAAGAAAGAATTCCACCTCGCTCTCATTCTTTTGGCAGCTTCATTAAAGGTTTTCAGATCGAGCCAGATAAGCAGCTCCACTTGTCCAACTGGACACGTGTCCCTATCCCAAATGACATAAATTAAACCAACCCAATCTAGGGTTCCATGTTAAGTACCCTTTCAGGAAACCCAAAGGTCGTTCTTCTTTTTGGCCCTTTTCTTATTCCCCGTCGTCGTGATGCATTTGGGCAACTTCCACGTGAAACTTTTCTGTACCAAGAAAAAATGGTTGCTAATTGAATCACAGATCAGAATCCTCCTTGACGCAGAATCACAGATCAAGAATCCTTATCAACTTTGTTTTTTTATTGTTTGTTGGGTTTGCACCTATATATTTAATTTTTTAGTCCAGATATTCAAGTTGCCAAGTGAAGTCAATATTTATTAATAAGGGCCTAAAATAATAAATTGTAGCAGTTTTGTAAAGATTAAATATAGATCTCATAACTCATAAGGGGTTGTGAATGGTACTAATCTCATACAAGATATTGAAGAGGAGTAGTATAACCTCTCATGAACTTCTCGGGTTAATTGCACCATCTGCCACTTAAGTTAGATATTTGTTGCACGTTAACCATCTAAGTATTTTACGTTGCAACTAAACCATTTACGTTACCTTCTTGTTGCAACTAAACCATTTCCGTCCATCAAACTAACGGTAGGTGTCCAATGGTAATTTTCCATGACACGCGGGCTGCCACATCAGCTGTTGCAGCATGAGTCACATGTGGCCCACCATCTATTTAAATGGACCCGTTTTATTACTCTTCTTTTTCCCAATCCTTCCCTCAAAAAACCCTTCCAGAATTGAGAATCCCAAACCACCCCATATTCAAAAACCAAAGTCGTAAATCTCTTCCTCTCTTCTCATTCTAACTCCAATCCTCTTCTATTCTATCGTCAAAATCCTTCCTCCATTCTCCGATCTTCTTCTCTTCTCCAGCGCCAAAATTCTTTCTCCAATCTTCTTCTCTTCTGCATTTTCCCATCTTGTTTACAGCACTCGAATGGCATCAACAGCATCTCCATTGTGGTGTTGCGCAAAACCAACGATTCTCCGTACCTTATGGACCGATACAAATCCCGGTAGACGCTTCTTTGACTGCTCCAACTATGGAGTATGTCTAACACTAGAATCTTGATTTTCAATTTTACTTAAAACAACTTTGACCTATTTCTTATGTTCGTTCTTTCTCTTATTTGATTCACAGGATGGGAAAGCATGCAAATTTTTTCGTTGGATTGATCCGCCACTTGAGGAGAACACTAAACGAGTTCTTCTTTCCTTACATAAGAGGATCCGAGAGCTGGAGAATAGGAACAGCCACAAGCCGTTTATTTTGATTGTGTTGTGTTATGTATCAAGGAACCTAAGTATGTTGAATGAAGGCTGGAATCTTGTGACTTTTTAACTGATGTTGCTGTTGTATTTCCTTTCGTTTTAACTGTTGTTGCTGCTGTCTTTGTTATGCATGAATGAACCTAATTCAGATTATCAATCCATTATGAGGGGCCACATTTCCCCTCCACAGAATCATTGGGTACTGCACTAATGTTATATTCTTGCAGTTTAAGAAATAAATTGCTTAAACAATGCAGGTCTCTAAACATGTGCACCAAGTGTTCTGGCCTGCTGAAAACCTTAAACATATGCAGGTCTTTAACAAAATGAACCATTGTTCTGGCCTGCTGAAAACCTCAAAAAGATGCTGGTCATTAAACTGTTGTTCTGGCCTGCTAACAATCTATAAAAAAAAAAGATGCAGGTCCTTTACAAATTGAACTGGTGTTCTGGCCTGCTAAAATCTCAAAAAATGCAGCTTGTTTCCTGTTGCTTAACCACATAAACTCGTGTTCATTCAAGTGCCTAACAAAATGAACTAGTGCTCAAGATCTTTATCCTGGTCTCGATGCTGCAGAAGGCATGTTTGGCCTCCTCTCTTCTTGTCCAAAGAAAGTTTGATGTCCCTCCAGATCATATGCACAAACATGGTAACTTGAATTTGTAAGATGGCCGGGGATTAGTCAGCTAAAAAATTGTAAAATCAGTATGAACTTACAGCTTGTGAACTCATATAACCAACATTTACACCATCAGATGCAACACCTATCAATCCTTGAATGTATTGAAGTCCCTAAAGATTTGGTGTAGACAGAATTGGGGATCACTCTTCTTTTTCCTGGATTGAATTGAAGGTATCTTGGACGAGTTGGAACAAACAGAGTATTGTAGTAGGGGTAGAGATAACTTACCGTATTGTTCTTTTTTTGCAGCGCGAGCCAATCTTTCTTTCTTCTTTGTGCAATATTCTCACCAAGTAACAGTTTGAGGTTTTTTTTTGTGTTATGTGCTGGGAAGGGTGCCGACATTTTAGCTTCAGGAATGAACTTTGAAGTCTGTTGTGAACCTTTGCTACAGGAATGACTCATCCTGTAGCAGCTGATGTGGCAGCCCACGTGGCATGAAAAATTACCGTTGGACACCTACTGTTAGTTTGGTGGACGGAAATGGTTTAGTTGCAACAAGAAGGTAACGTAAATGGTTTAGTTGCAACGTAAAATACTTAGGTGGTTAACGTGCAACAAATAGCTAACTTAAGTGGTAGATGGTGCAATTAACCCTGAACTTCTCACATGGTTTCGTCACTAATAGTTAGGTGATCACATTCAATAGCGAAATGAGTCTTATCAAATATTGCTTGAGAAATCAATTTTGTCATAGTTCATCTCACATATTCGGTATATAATACCCTTTTTATTGTCTTATTAATGCATCAAATATCGCTCCAGCCTTTAGTCTCTATAATGATAATCCGTAGGATTAATCTATAAGATACATAAGTTCATCTATGTAACCAAAAAACTGAAATAAGAAAATGGTCCTTAAAGTTAATCCCTGTTCTACTTCCTTCGTGACAGCACGATTGCAAAGTCTTTGGATCAAGCAAAAAGCCCACCCATCCATCACGGCATCACAGGATCAGTTTTGGGCCCCACTGCCGAGTCCAAAACAGTGTGATAATGGACGGCCCACGTGGCGTACATCAAACTGACAACTAAGACCGCCCGCAGGCCGCAACTAATGTATTTAAACATTTCTGTGGTGCCGAGAAAAAGAAAGAAAAGCTGTCGTTCTTCAGGCGGCGCCCGTGGTTACTTGGCGCTTTCTGAGCCATTCGATGGGATGACTTTTTATCTGATCCGTCGGTGTGATGATGCCAAGCAACTAAACAAAGCATTTTCGATACGCCACAAAAAGAATTATTGTTTCGTCGGATTGATCAGACATGGGCCTACAAAGTTACATTAGGGGTCCTATACCTTTCTGGGCCTTTTGGCTAAGATCAAGCCTAGTTACATTAGGGGTCCTTGAATAATTGTTTTTCAATGAGTTGTCCTTAAATAATTGGCAGGCAATTTTTGTTTAATTTTATTTTAGATAATAATAGTCAATTTATTTAGGGATCGAATAGATTAGAATAGAAGTCATGGACATTGCCCACGGCGTACATATAATAAAGAGGTGGCCGCTGTGTGGTGAAAATGAGTCTCTTATTGATGGTTCGACTATTTTTTTACTATTATCCCTTCCTCTTATACTTATTATCACGAATACCCAAAAAACCTTTGAATTCGCATATAATTGTTCATATATCTTAAAAGAGGAAAAGAGACTACAAACTAAGTGTTGCACAAAAAAACTCAATATGAAGGGGTATTGTTAAGGGACTTAGAATAGAGCCTTACAATCTTCATGTTGGACCGTTGGCTTAGACCACAAGAAGGAACTTCTCTACATGTCTCTACAGCCTTTGCCTTCTAGAGTTTTGGCTAGAAGAAATTATATCCAGACTTTTGAGTTCTTTTACGGGTTTGATGATCTTCGACTTCGGGAAATTTAGTTGGATGGATTTGGATCCACATCTCTATGGTAATTTTGTCTACAAGTCTAGTTGGTAAACTTTACAAGCAACACATCTTGAGAGTTGAGATTTGATGAGGGTGAATTTGGTATTAATGTACATACCATGAATGATTGATTTTATATATATTTTAATTTAAATTATACCCATATTAAGGTTTTGAAAGGAATACATTTTAAGTTATAAATCTATGCTTTTGGCAATATGATTCAAATTCAAATGCCTTCCTTCCTCCCTAGCTAATATAAGTCATTTGTCGTTAGAATTGGAACCAATGGCGATGAGATCAATATTATTAACCAAGGGATTCATCCCACCACTCACCATCTCCATTCTCTTCCTCTTTCTCTACTTCTTTTCTTGCCACTCTTCGAATTCATTTCTTCAAGTCCGTAAAACAAGTTCACCGACGGATCAATGGGTAAGTCCTCTGAAATTTCAACATTCTAATGCATTATTTGAAAATCTCAATATCTTTACACCAAACGAGAGTTACTCATATCGTATTATATAAAGCTGTTTTATCTTTAATTTCATCAAAGGTACGATAGATACACCTATATATATATCAGAGTCTTTGTTGATTTAAATGTCTACTGACTTTGTATGAAGGAATATGCTAATATAATTCATTTTCTAGTTAGTTGTAGACTACTTGCATAAATGATAGTTAAAGTTTGGGTTATTGACAAATAGTGAATGAACCTTGATTTGCAACTGTTGTCACTCAAGTTTAGAACAATTAATAAAATAATCACCCCGTTGATCCATCTCAAGTTTTTTCGTCAGAATTATCTAGATTATGTGATGTAACAACTCCATAATAAGGTAGCGTCGTGTGATTTTTTTCATAAGTTATCAGGGGAGAGGACGATTAGAGTGGTTTCTAGTATTACTTGGATGGACTTTGTCATTTTATTAGATGATGATGTGTATTGTACTTACAGACGGAACTAAGGCAAGTGCTGAGACGAGCTTCAATGGAAACCAGAACAGTCATCATAACGGCGATCGACAACTCGACGGCGACCCCTCGTCTTCCTGGCTCGCCGCCGGCGTTGGACGATCTCCTGGAGAGTTTAAAGAATGGGAGGGCAACGAAACACCTTGTTGATCACTTGGTGATCTTTACTTTCGATCCCCAAACTTTTCGTTATTGCAAATCCATCCATCCTCACTGCTTCAAATACCCAAAATTCAATGGCCTCCACGACCATCAGCCTCATAAATTTGTTGGCTTATTTAGGAACGAGCTTCTACGGCAAGTGCTTGAATTTGGTTACAACTTTTTTTATACGGTAAATTGACCCCGTTCCATTTCTTATTTTATTTTCTTACTGAAAGTGTCTTCTCTCATTTTTGCACCATTCGTGGTTTACAATAATTTAGTTAAAGATTTAGATTATTCTTTTACCAAATATAAAGGATGATGACTATGAGAAAACTGTATAGTATACTTAAAAAAAGGTGCATGTTATGAAATCTTATATATACTGATAAGTACTTACAAAATATTAATGCTAAGTAGTTTTCTGTATCCTAAAAAGAAATTTTGATATTATTCATTAATTTTGTAGGACGCAATTTTGTCGTGGGAGAGGAATCCACTTCCATTGTTTGGATCAGAAGACAAAATTTCAATTGGATGTGAGTTTTACTCAACGGTTTCAAACACTAAGAATGCAGAGTACTTTTATATGAAGTCTGGTCCAGTATCAATCGCCTTCTTCAAGATGTGGAAGTTGATCAACATAATATATCCTGATACAGTTGTCAATAATTCTTTTTGTCAGCTGAGATTTAATGATAAATTTGGCCCAGTTGTCAAGTCAATGATCAAGTCTGTCGAAAGTACAAAGTAATGTATCTATTTTGGTCTTTTAATATAGAAAATCAAGATCAATAAAGCTATTTTCCTTCATTTTTGGGATCAAATAGCTTGAAGAAACAATCATTTTATATTGAAAATCAGATACAAAATTTGTATATTCAAAAGATAAACACTTGATCCTAATGGATGAAGTAAACGTTGTGATTAATTATTATTGATTTTCAGTAAAAAAATAATAATTCAGTTGATAATATGACTGATCCCAAAATTTTAGTCACTATTATGTAACTTAACCGGTAAAGAACGACTTTTCCAATTTCCTTTCTACCCGCCCTTTTTCCTTTTCTTCCAAAGTCGATTAATTTCATCGCAGAATTTTCATTTCCTAGAAATCTACTCCCCTCTCCCCTCCTCTCGAATCTCGATCAATGGCGGAAGCAACTCTCTTCTCCATCGCCGACGCGATCCTCAACCAGCTAGGCTCCGAAATCCTACAAGAAGCCGCACTTTTATGGGGGATCGGAGACGACGTTCAGAAGCTCACCCGTACACTCTCCACCATTCGAGCTCTTCTCCTCGACGCAGAGGAGAAATCCTACTCCCCGGGAAACCACCAGCTCCAGCTCTGACTCAGGGAGCTTCGCCAAGTCTTTTACGACGCCGAGGACTTACTGGACGACTTCTCGACTGAGTTGCGGCGGTGGCGCGGAGCAGCCAGGGTACGACGGCCGTCGGGGAGCGAATTGCGCGCGAGGTACGGAATTTCTTCTCTGGCTCGAATCAAATTTCTCACGGATTGAAAATTGCGCACGGGATTCAAGCCGTTAGGGTTTGGCTGGATGAGATTGCCGAGAGGAGAGAGATGTTTGATTTGGTGGAGCGTCCTGTAGTGGAGCCGGCTGTGAGGAGGAATGATAGTGAATAGACTCACTTCGGTGTCCCCCATGTGGTCGTCGGACGAGAGGTAGATAAGGAAAGAATAGTTGAGCTTCTGATGTCTGATTGTAAGGAGAATGTGGTTTCTGTGGTTCCGATTGTTGGGATTGGCGGATTGGGGAAGACGACACTGGCTCAGTTAGTGTACAATGATGAGAGAGTTAAGTCTTGTTTCGAGGTAGCAGTGTGGGTGTGTGTTTCGGAGAATTTCGATGTCAAGTTATTGTGGAAAAGATTGTGGAGTCTTTTACAGGGGAGAAGCTAGGAGGGAACTTGAGGAGCGATCATATTTAGGTTGCTTTATGGGTATTGATTGAAATGTTGTTTTTGATTTTCTTGGATGAATTGCTGTTTCTTGCTTGTCTTCGATGAATTGGTGTTTTGGATGTGTTTCAGATGTGTTTTCAGATGTGTTTCTCATATTATGTGGTTGTCATTACTAATATTTAAATTGTTGCCCTGAGGATGCAGAGCAAGAAGCATATGCTGCAGCTTCATGACGCCGTCCTGGCAAGCCTACTGAGGTTGCTCTTGAAGCAATTCTGAAGTTGACTTCTCTCCCGGAGTGGCTTCAACTTGTGCCAAGCTTGAAAGTGATTTGGATGACAGATTGCTCCATCACTTTTTACCCCAGTGTGGATCCCCAACTTCACACAGTTACAAGACTTGACAATGGCGGAAGCTTTCCTGTACAGCATTGCCCACAAACTCCTGAAGGAGCTCGGTTCCATAGTCATACAAGAGTCGGCTCTCTAATGGGCTACCGACGATGACATTCGGCTTCTAAATACCGCTTCAAGATTGTGATGGTGGTGAAATCCATGGCAGTTTAGAAACTGTGTACAGATTCCTGAACAGATTTCGTTTGAGGTTCATCTTTAAGCAACATATTTAACTTTGGAACCTGGATTTTGGGGCTTAAAGAGATTGTGTAGAGTTTCTGAATCACACTAAAAACTCACTCACAGGTACAAATTTACTTTTCCAAAGCAAATTGTGCGTAGTTCAGCCCAAAGGAAACAAAGAAAAGAGGCACAAGAGTCGTATGTAATGAAAGAAAAGAGGCACCAGAGACATCCAAACTTCTGCAGTAAGTTCTTGCCCCCTGTCAGTCTCTAGGTCGCCTTTTTTCATTTTATTTTTCTATCTAGCACTTCTACCTGAACATCTAGCTGATCTACTCTTCATTTATGGTTTTTGCTACAGGTTCCTTATGAATGGTGCTAGAGTTCTGGCACATGTTGCAACATATCCGGGAGATGTTTCCAAGCCTAGGTGAAGCAGAAGCAAGAGTGATACAAACAGCTCATCAGTGGAAGTTCAAATGCTTCTACATATACAGATTCAGTGAGTGGGTAGTTATTTTCCTTCAGATTTTAGACCTAATAGTAAATGAGACTGGTCTTACATGCTTAGGCAGTTGCTTACTAAAATTAAACAAAAGGGTTTCTGTTTCTGCTGTGAATCTATGTTTTTATATGGTGGAGAATCAGTAATACTATCAAACTTTTGAGCATGTAGAAATCTTCTATTTTCACGAGAACCAACTCTAACTAGGGAATGATGATGTAGGTATTGTATGCACCATCTGTCAAGAAAAAAGAAAAAGAGCATCCTATGCCCCAGAATGAAAAAGAGCTATTATGTAGCTACAAAGATTGAGTTCAGAGTTCATATATCTTTTAAATATTTTATTTTCTCAAAAGATTACTCGTATTACCGATGAAATAGCCAAATAAAAGAGTCACATGACCGAAAGATAAAAAAAAGAAATCAAACCCTACCAAAGAAAGATACAAAGAAAGGGATTTCCTTACAACTAAATGAACAACCCTGTTACTAAGTTGCTACTACAACCAACAAAACAAACTTTCTTATATAAAAATGACCAAAAATGTAAAAGCTTTGCAACAAAATAATGTAAAGAATCGAGCTTGATCCGCTTCCCATACCTACTTCATTATTGTCACAAATTGAAAATTGTATAATATTAAACTAATCCATGATAGGTGGAGCTGAAACACATGCATATTTATCATCATTGCAAGGTCAACGCTTTTTGTTCAGAAAAAGATCTCCATCCAGCATACTACCTTCTTCTTCCTTCCGCACAGCAAAGCCTTAGTTCACCTTCTTTGTAAAACTTTTATATCATATTTATACCCTTCTCAGTTACCCCAAACCAGCAAAAGAACTTTAATGGCGGAAGCCGCACTGTTCAACATCTCCCAGGCGGTCCTCAAACAGCTGGGCTCCAAAGTCCTCCAGGAAGCTGCACTCTTATGGGGAATCGGAGACGACGTCAAGAAACTGACCCGAACTCTTTCCTCCATCCAAGCTGTTCTCCTGGACGCAGAGGAGAAGTCTCACTCTCCCCGTAGCCACCAACTTCGACTCTGGCTCAAGGAGCTGCGACAAGTTGTTTATGAAGCTGAAGACTTGCTTGATGACTTCTCCATTGAGGTGCAGCGCCGCCAGGGAATGGCTACTGCTGGCGAGAAGATCTCGAAAGAGGTACGAAGTTTCTTTTCGAGCTCAAACCAAGTTGCTTATGGTTTGAAAATTGCTCATGGAATTCAAGCCATTAGAGCTACCCTAGATGAGATTGCCGAAAGGAGAGAGATGTTTCATTTGGAAGTGCAGCCTGTGGAGTCTATGGCTAGTAAGTCTAGGGAGCAAACTCACTCCGATGTTCCAGAAATTGTTGTTGGGAGAGAGGATGAGCGAGAGAGAGTACTGAATCAGCTTTTGCAGCATTCCTCTAACTGTAAGGACAATGTTTCGGTGGTCTCGATTGTTGGGATTGGAGGGTTGGGGAAAACTACACTTGCTCAACTCTTGTACAATGATGAGGCAGTTAAATCTCATTTTGAGCTGAAAGCTTGGGTTTGTGTTTCTGAAAAATTTGAGGTTAAGTTGATAATTGAGAAGATAATCGAGTCTTGTACAAACCAGACTCCCGGGAGGGACCTTGAGATGGATACTTTGAGAAAGCGTCTTTATGAAACTATGAACGGGAAAAGGTACTTGATTGTGCTAGATGACGTGTGGAGTGAGGATAGAGAGAAATGGAGCCGTTTGAAGGGGTTGTTGAAGGGCGGTGCAGAGGGGAGCCGTGTAATGATAACCACACGACTACAAAATGTTGCGAAGCTAGCTGCAACGAGGGGGGTGGAGCCATATGAATTGAAGGGTCTGAGCGAGCGTGAGTCTTGGTCTTTATTTCAAGAAATAGCATTTGAAGGGGAAGCGATGAGCGGGAGATACGAGTCAATTGGAAGAGAGATTTTGGAGAAATGCAAGGGGGTTCCTTTGGCGATCAAAACAGTTGCTGGTGCCTTGTTTTTCAAGGAGAGTGAATCTGAGTGGATTGCATTCAAGAGCAAAGGGATGTGGGAAATGGATGATAATGAGAATGATATAATGCCAACTTTAAAGCTGAGTTATGATCATTTGCCCACACATTTAAAACATTGTTTTGCCTATTGCAGTTTGTTTCCCAAGGATTACGAAATTGACGTCGAGACATTAATACACCTTTGGATTGCACAAGGATTTGTTCAGTCATCAGATCCATCTAACCGATTTGATGTTGGTCTTGGATACTTTAAGGACCTTCTTTGGGGGTCATTTTTCCAGGAACAAAAGAAGGGTAAACGGAGAAATAGAGTTATCTGCAAGATGCATGATTTAATGCATGACCTTGCCATAGCAATTGCAGGGGAGGAGATCAGTGCCGCTTTGGCTGTTTTGAAGTCACAAGATATACAAGACTATGATTCCCATTTGAGAATAAGTCGACATGTCTTACTGGATTACTGGGGATGTCGGTTTGACAAACAAATACATGAGGCTTTATCTTCAATTGTCAACAATACAGAAGCAAATAAAGTGCGAACCCTTTTAGGCATAAATTTGGTTTGGGGATTCTTTAAGCTAGATCCAGTTATCTTTTCTAATACAACAAGCTTGAGGGCATTGGATATGAGCAAGTTTGGTATGTCGATGTTGTCACATACCGTTCATAAATTGAAGCATCTGAAATATTTCGATCTGAGTTGCAACAAGATGACGGTGTTACCGGAGGAGATTACAGAACTAATAAATTTGGAAGTGCTCAAACTTGATGATTGCAGCAAGCTTTTACAACTGCCAAAAGGTATCGGAAAGTTGTCTTGTCTTTTTCATCTTGGCGTTGATGGGTGTGATTCTTTGACATGCATGCCACATGGTATTGGGCAGCTATGTTATTTGAGAGAATTACCTCTCTTCGTGATAGCAGAAGGTGACAGTGAATCTACTAGTGCAGCAGGGGCCGGAATTGGTGAATTGCGCTACTTAAACAACCTGAGGGGAAGATTGGTGATTACAAATTTGGAGAAATTGAAGAATTCGTCAGAAGGTGAGTTGGCTGATTTGAAAGGCAAGCAACATTTGGAGGAATTGAGCTTGTTATGGGAGGAGCGTGAGGGAGGCATTGCTGTTGGTGCAGAAGCGGAAGGGATATTACTGGAAGCATTATGTCCACATCCCAATTTAAAGAAGTTATGGTTGAAATATAATTGTGGTTCAGAATGCCCGAGTTGGGTTCCCTCTGTGATGAATTTAGTGGAACTTCAAATTGTGGGTTGTCAGAATTGGAAACGCCTCCCATCATTGGATCAACTACCTTTCCTTGCAGAACTGAGGCTTCAGGACATGGAGTCTCTGGAATACATTGAGTACTGTGGGGAGACTCGGTCATCATCATCATCATCTTCATTCTGCTCATTTTTCCCTTCTCTCAAGGTTCTGGGCCTCAAAAGATGTCCTAAATTTAAGGGTTGGCTGACTCCGGAAGCAGTAGCAGTAGTGTTGCCGCAGTTTCCTTGTGTTTCAGAAGTGAAGATCTCTGACTGTGGTAGCATCAGTTCCATTCCCTATTTTCCCCTAGAATTAATAACACTCAAATTGAAAGGTGGCAGCAAAGAGCTGTTGAAGCAAATTCTGAGGATGCGGCCTTCTTCATCTCCATCTTCTCTTTTTCCTCCTCGGTCTTCTTGCCTCAATAGTGTGAAAATCTCCAAGATACTGGATCTTGATACTCTGCCAGAGGAGACACTCCTACGTCTTACTTATTCTTTTTCTTCCCTGGAAATGCTAACTATCAACAATTGTCCGGAGCTAAGGACTCTTTATCCAGCAGTGCCACATCATCTCACTTCCCTCCGATGCCTTAACATCTGGAGGTGTGAGAAATTAGATCTGTGTGATGGTGATGATGACGAGATGATGCAGCAGCAGCAGCTCCACGGTGGTGTCCTCCTGCCACTCCTCTCGGAGGTTTATTTAAATGGAATTCCAAAATTGAGTCGCCTCCCAGAGTGGTTTCAACTTGCCCCAGAATTGTTGCAAATATGGGCTTTTAATTGTCCCATCGCGTATATGCCGGAGTGGATGCCCAAACTCGTACATTTGCAGACGTTGATGATCAATTCGTATGGGAAATCTGCGAGTCAATGTGTGCATGAAGACTGGTCCAAGATCGCTCACATCTCAAAGATAAGCATAAATAATGTATATATCCACGAGCAGGCAGCAGGAGAAGAAAAATTCAAAGAACTAGAGGAGGAAGAAGAAGAAACTCCAGTAATAGAAGCTGCTGAAGAAGAGCAAGAGGAGACATCCAAACTCTTACAGTACTAATTTCTTCATCTACTTTTCAGTCTTGAGCATTATTAATATTTTGCTTCTGCCTGGCTGATTCTGGAACTTAAGATCTTAACCTACACATGGAAATTTTGTTGCAGGTTCTTCGTTATGAATTGTGGCATGGTTGGGAGATGCTTTCAAGGCTAAGTCAAGATTTTTGAAACAAAACCAAAAGCTTAGACAGATGTGCTTAGACCAAGGCAGCAGCAGGAGGTGATGGATAGTGCAAAGCATAGAGCTCATGGTTCATTGAAAATTGGGTAATAATTAATAAACACTTGTCTGTTTATGATTAACTGTCTTCCCGAGACTCGAAAATGCCTAAACAAGTTTGTTACTGTCCTGAATATTTTGTTGCTTCCTTTTTGGCTCAACAACGGTTGTGTTACGTGTCTCGGTGTCTACTGTTGTGATCTTAGCTCGACTCTTGTATTCATATCAATGAATCAAGTGAAGTAGTTTAGATGTCCTTGTGAAGAGCTTTGTGTTTGGTACCCGTTTGCAAATTGAAGTGTGGCCGCAACTTCATTTTAACATCTGCTCCTGTGTTTGGTTTTTGTTGCAGGTTCTTTATGAATTTGCAGCAAACCTCGGAAAGCGTTTTCAAGGCTAAGATGAGACGGAGCTCATGTTTGCAGTCACAGGGGTGGATCTTTCTCAGTTTCTCTTGGCCTCAAAATCAGAATAGCTTTACTTGGTTTCTTCTGCTTATATGGATACCAGAAATGTCAAATGTTTCTGTTACTGCTATGAATCTTCTGTTAGCTCTATTAGGCTAAATTATCCTGTTTGCTCGCCTAGAAACAAAATTCTGTACTTGTGACGTTACTGTGTTTTTTGCCTCATTATATGCTGTGATCTTAGTTTGTCTGTGTTATTCCTAAGTAGGAAATGATATGATTTTAGTATTTTACAGTGCTGTTCACGTTCTGTTTCTCTGTTTAAAATCTCCTTGCTTAAATCATGAAGTATGGATGGCTGCTTTTCACTATTAAACTAGGAAGCAGAGGTTCAGTGATGCGGTCATTGCTCACCTTATTTTCGGCCTACTTAACTAGACTGAAATGCCGAACAATGGCTCATGTTACTGTTGTGAATCTTCTTTTAAGCTTCTTCTGTTTGTTACGGCGTGATGTTAGTTTGCCTTTTGCTTCCAGAAGTAGTGAAAGACTTGAAGTGAAATTCTGATCTTGTTTTGAAGAGCTGTGTGTTTGTGTTTTTCTATTTACGATATTTGGCTTCATAATACAGCTCCAGTACAGTGATGTAGGGTTTAAATTCATGGCTTTTGCTTTTCTTCCAGAAACTTTGCATAAATTCCCGAAGCAATTTCGGGGTCTGAGGATTTACAAGTACAAGTTGGCTGAAATTTGGATTCCTGCTGTTCTCTGAGTTAAAGTACAGAAATGTTAACTGAACTTTGAAGTGCCTTATAATTTAGTCATTACTTTGAGTTTTAACAAATTGCAGTTTAACTCGTATAACTATCAAAGGAATCTCTTTGCATAAATAAAACAAATTAACACATTTTGAAACTCAGTTACAGACTTCGAGAACACAATGTATGCATAACTGTTGAAGCAGATGCTGTGGATAATCCTCTTCCTCTCTTCTTCTCCTAACCATTCTTCTTCACCTCCTGCATCAATCTTGAGTGTGTATATCGACCAAGTACTGGATCTTGATACACTAATGGTGGAGATACTCCTGCGTCTTTCTTTTTCCCTGATAGAACTAAGCATCAGTGATTTTCTGGTGCTCAGGACTCGGTCTCCATCAGCTGGTCATTAGTCTGAGCAATGACGATCAACCATGTGCTAAAAGGATGTGGCCTCATCGGCCACCAAGTTTGCACAACGGGGTTGAGTAATACGAGTTTGGCTAAGACTGCAACGAGTATGCCTCTTAGCCAACTATGGCGACTAATAAATAAAAATCATAATAGAAAAACATTTAATGCCTTTAAGGCCAGCGGTAGGGTCAACTTAGTCCCAACCGGTGTAGTGTAATACCAAATCGTGTTTCTTCTCCGAGCTAAAATGGTGAGTTCTTGGTGGACCAATAAAATCAAACAGATTCGTTGGGACCTGGTGGCGAGATAAAATTGGTGCAACAATGCCGTTTTTATTGTTACTTTCTCGATGAAGTTTCCCGGCCCAACGTGGGAGAAACAAAACAGGGTTGTTTGGAGAGGAAAACAATGTTGTTTAACAAAGGGGAAGAAGGGCCAATTATGGTCGAGTTGATCCGAGCAACGATGGAAGAGTGGGACAGCGACGCCGTTTGTTTTTCCTCTCTTGAACGATGTTGTCTTGGCCTCAATGCCGAGAAAAATGAGGAGTTGTTGGCCGAGAAATTAATAAATAAAAAATCTCGGTCGCCGATACATATCAAAGAATTGAAAACCAGATTAAAATTGAGGAGTTCAATAATTTGGTAACAAAATGATGAAAGTTATTTTATTAACCACATTTTCTTATTTAAGTTCCTGTAATATTTTACTAGGTATTTGGTACTGGTGTTTGTAAAGTTACAGCCAGTACTTCACTAAAAATTGGAGGTTTTCCTAACCATTCTCCTCCCATCCCAATTATAGTTCATGTGAACAAGATATGAGCGAGCAGTTTCATTTCCTAACCATTCTCCTCCCATCCCAATTACAATCACATTTTCCAATTACAGTTCATGAATAAGAGACTTTATTTCATCAATACGATCAGGGGTCACTTATTAGTCCTTAACTTTTATCAACTGTCAACTCAAGTCTCCCTTTTGAGTTTGTACATTGGAGAATGAACTCAACAATGGAGAAGCATCTTTCAGACTAGCTTGGCTAAAAGTCGAGGCAATAAGCTGCTTGTAGGTGAAGGGCTTGAACAACAAGGGGTGTTGTTCGTCAATCAACTCTTCCGGCGCTTTGATAGTGTTGTCTGCCTTTGGGCGTGTGAAAAGCGCGAAGGAATATCTCAACTTATCGTTTTCACACAACCATACCCTATGGTCGGGACAGTGAACCCTACCATTCAGCCATGCCTACACAAAATACGAAATCACAAATTATATATAGCCATGTTATAATTTGATTTGATTGTTGTCACTATCTTAAACCTCAGACTGACCACAATAATAAACTCGTGGAAATTTTTTACAGAACCGTTAAATCCATTTTGGAGGAATTTGTTTCAGAAATAAGATGTGATGCAAAATATTTTTTTTTAAATAATACAATGAAATTTTATTTTAACGGCCCAATTCCAAATTGTCCTATCAAACATAAGCTTTCGTGTTTAGAGGAGTTAAATTGACTCACTGGATGTTCAAGGACTAAAGTTACAATATCCCTTGCAAAAGTGTCCCAGCAAAATTTCCCATATAATATTAGAGTGAATGGACATTCTTGAAGTTTAGAACTAAAACAATCCAAATATTAAAGTGCAGAATATAACTGACATTTTTGTCAAGTTAAATTAAATAAATGGAATGCTATCACAAACACCACTTATATAGAATCATAGAAGGATAAATGGGTCATGCTAGCATAAATTTTGGTATGCTTTACTCCATTACTCCTAATGAGGTGGCGCTATACAAACTATGAAATGTGATACCATATCTTAATATATATAATGGGTAAACTTGGAGTCAAATTCTCTAAACCCAATCCAAAAATTAATTTGAAAAAAAATAATTATAATTCGTTGGATTACATTGAAATACATTCACAACCAAGTATCACATATATATCTTATGAGTATGCTAGCCTTTATCGAAGATATACTGGCATGCATGCGTGCGAGGGAGAGATAACGAGTCATACAAAATAAAAAAACTCGACGAATAGAGAAGTGACTTACATGAAGAGAATCACCAACCAAGACGACGAAAGAGCTACGAGAAGTCGGTTTGAATTTAACCCATTCACCTCTCTTGTTTTGAAGCTCCAATCCATCAACCTCATTTTGGCACAACGTTGTAATCATACTTTTATCAGTATGGACTTTCAGCCCAGTTTTTGGATCGAGTGCAGTTTCGGAAGTAGCTACTGTTACTTCGTATTTCATGACCCTCAAATGGTAATTTGTGAAACACATGTGTTCATCCACATATTTCTCAAGGCCAAAGCTTTCCAGTATCATCGTTCTCACAATTTGATCCAGTTCAGACACCTTCTTAGACATGGAGTGGACATTTTTGCTGCAAACATCAAAATGTTTGAAAAGTGTTAGTTAAATTAGTTATGACATGGTATGAGATGACATAGGAAGAATATGAGAGCAAACACTATTGTTATATAGTAAACGAGTATATATGTAGTATGTATACTAATTTCAAACTGGATATATAATCATGAGCATTAGAACGCCGAAGTTGAATGTGTTCCAGCAGCGAGAGTATTAGTAATTAAGATGGATAATTAATCACGGACATTATATACATCACCTGAAACTGGGATTTCCTCCTTGGGGCCATAATCTGTCAGAGAAGTTCTGGACCACGTCAAGCAGATGAGGATCGTTTAGCCCAAAGCTCTCAAAGAATGGATTGGCTGGAGGACGGCCCAAGTAACCTTGGGGAAATGCCTCGGGAGGAAAACTTGCTTGTTTGGTGGGCAAAGGCAGATCAAAGAGATCTTCAAGTGAACCGAAAACATCAGTTCGAAGCCGACTCGAAACCCTGTCGAAGGAAGCCTCGAAGCAGCCGTAGTCTTGGAGTGCTTTCCGAACTTGGGATTTCAAGGAATCCCAGCGGGGAGTGCCTTGTTTCAGATCAGGCTCTGCTGACAAGTCTATGAATGGGAGCTTTAGATCACTAGGCGCTTCAATATTGATGGATCCGACCATATATTGAAAACACGTCTATGAAATGGTATATGTTATGCTTGAGTTGAGAGAGAAATTACAAAGAAGATTATGCTTAGGTTCCCAACTCTGCCTCTCCCATGGCTTGTTTATTTATACTTCTTAATTACTAATTATCCATTATAAATTTTTTGGCGTGCAAAGGGTAAAGATGTCTGGGTAAGGGTTATTGTTGTAAGAGTGTGGTATAAGATCCAGCAGAACCTTCTCCCAACAACTCGAGTTATTGGGAGCAACTGGTTCTTGACATGGTATCAGAGCCTAGAACGAAAGGTCATGTGTTCGAATCTCCACGACCCCCAATATTAACCGTTGTCTTTCAAGCACATGGTATGGTGGGCCTGTGCAAACTTCAAGCGCATGGGTTGACTTTCGTTTGAGGGGGCGTGTAAGAGTGTGGTATAAGATCCAGCAGAACCTTCTCCCAACAAATCGAGTTGGTGGGACTGTGCAAACTTAAAGCCCATGGATAGAACCTTCTTCCAACAACTCGAGTTATTGGGAGCAACTAGTTCTTGATAATTGTTCGTTCTCAACCTTTATTAAGGGTCAACTCAAGTGTCCCTTTTGAGTTTGCACAACGGAGAATGAAGTTTAATGATGGCCCTTTAGTAGTAATTAATTCCTACAGAATCTCATTGACTTTTTAACATGGTTTTGACGTCTTAACTGCTCATCATTATCATATGCTTACAGCAGTGGAGAACAACTACAAAGATAAAACATAACTTTTTACGAAGTAAGTTACAATCAATCCTTAACTAAAAGTTGGGGTTTTACATCTGGATAGTACAGCCAAGGCCATTAGTGGTGTTTAATTACTTGGTCAGAAGAATCTTAATGAATAATCTAGTAGAGCAGTTAAGACATCAAAATCATGAATGATAAGTAAACTAAGGCTGTCTTAAACTAATTTATCATACAAACGAAATGAATAAAATAAAAAGCAGCATATTGCAAAAGTCAGGCCACAACTTACATCCACAGAACCATTTTAGAGTGCGTTTGAATAGAAGGATTTGGATTTGGTATTTGTGATTTAAATTTCTAAATGTTAGATCATTTGTTTGAATATCAATTACATTTGATATTTGGATTTGTGCCAAATTCATGGGGTGATATCCAAATACATCTCTAGTGTATTACTTGTCCACTTCAAATACATTTCAACAACTAGTGTTTTTTTTTTTTTTTTCGTTGAATCACTTTCCTTTACAACTAGTGATTTGAAATTCCTCTTAATAAAAGATTGGACATATTTGTAAAATTTTAAAAGTTTAGGTACTATAGTGTGATGCAAAACATTTAAAGGTATCAAATGTAATTTTACCATCAAAATTTCTGGACCTTTTCGTAAAATTTGTAAAGTTAAGTTATAAAATTGTAAGAAAAATAAATTTGGGTACCAAAATATAATTTACCAAAATTTGTAGTAAGTGACCAGAAAATTCAATATTAAAATAAAAAAATTGAAATACAAACAAATTACAAAGGAATATCTAAACAACGAATTTGAATTACATGCATTTAAAATGTTAGTATTTCAATTAAATGCATTTTAAATACATATTTCAAATACCTTACATTTGAAATACACCTATCCACACACACCCTAATGATATTGCTGACGTGGATAGTGCGATCGAAGTGACGGCCAAAATGTTGCTGGTATCTCAGCGATACATGTAGCAAAAATTTATGTATAGTGATAATGTGTAGTTGTTGCAAAAGCCATTTGCATGTCCCTCCAGCGTACATCATTTCACTTTGCTCCACGTAGGTATAATAGAGCTGCCCATATCGCCGCAAAACGGGCATTGTCGTCTGTTATAAACGCGCTGCTACGAATCGGGAAATCGCCGGAATCGACAAAGCAAGAATACGAAAGCGAGAATCGAAAACACGACACACGATTTACGTGGTTCACTAACACGATGTGTGTTAGCTACGTCCACGGGCGAGAGAGAGCCAGTTTCACTATATCGAGGAGATTACATATTACAGAGGAGTATGAGAAGTATTTATAGTACTTCTCCATGTGGGTCTAAACCTAATCCAATCTAGCAAAGGAAACGGTTACAGACCAGGCCCAGAACCCGAACCCAAATAACAGCGAGACCCCCGATTACCAGTCGTAGCGGCTGATAGTCCGATTCAAGTCATATCAACATCGTCTGTGGGGGCAAGTTTGTTTACTCATTTTGCTGGTGGCAATTCAGCACTGGCGATCAAGGATTGGATATCTTCTGACTGCTATTTCAACTTGGCTAGGTCTAGTTGGGATGCCTTTTGGTGCTTCGTGTTGCCACTTTGTTTATTTTGTAGGGACATTTTTATCCATGATTTTCACCTTTATATGGTAGAAGTCATGGATATCGCCCATGCCATATATGTATAAAGTGCTGCCCGTTGCGTGGTGATAAAGGCTCTCTTATCGATGGTTCGGCTAATTGTCGACCGTCGTCCCTTTCTCTTATATGTATTATTATGGTTGCCTGAAAAGACTTCCAATACGTGTATAGTTGTTCCCTTTTGGGATTATCTTTGACAAATAAAAGCCATTTGCACCGAGATACTGCTTCAACCTCCGTGTAATCTGATACTATTTTTGTAACATAATTGTGATCAACTTCGGTACAAATTACTACTGAAAACGATACTGTGACAAATTAGAATTATTAAGTCCCAAGTTCCCAAAAATTCGGAGTTACTATTATGAAATTTTCGCTGGTCACTCTTCACAAAGTGACTTAGCAATTGGCTGTGGGCAAGTTCATGGTGAGTCCGAGTTCACCACTTTGGACTGGCTAAGCGTTGCCGTTGATTTTTTTTTTGTTGCGTATCCTTCTTTTTCGTTGCTTTTTAGTTTTTACCCAATTACTTCCTTTCCTATCTACAGTCAAGACCCATCAATCATCCTCTCTCCCTCTCCTATCCCTATATTCTATGCAAACCCCCATCACGATTCATCATTCTCATTTCCCAATCTCTCAAGTCTCTCTCTCTCTCTCTCTCTCTCTCTCTCTCATGATGATGCATGCACATATGACAAATCTATGCAACTTCTAACTCACCAAATATAATGATTTTCTATTATTATATATTGCTTTTTGTTGTTGTATTTCCTTTTTTTTTTTACAATGGTGAACAATTTCATTCAAACACATTCAAACACATAAGACAAATTTTACAATAAAATTTAGTATGAGATTATTCCAATTTGAGAAAAGTTTGTTTTGCCTTCTTAAATGAATAGAGGCTAAATTAGTACAAACTCATGTTTAGATAACAAACTCAGGTACTCTTCAGGTTTAGTAGACCTTGCTGTCAGAAAGTGGCACGTGGGATTGAGGTTCCTGGATAATAAAAAAAATGTCTTGATGAAAACTTCGGCTGAGTTATAACCTATGGTTTGCTGTATGCACAAGCAAATGAGAAATTACTTGTACTATCTTCCCAAACTCTATTTCATGAATTCCTTTATTATTAACTTGATTCTGTAAATAAAGTTCATAACTTAATTCCTTAGTATTATCTTCCATCAATTTGTATTACACAAAGTTTCGTAAGGTAAGTTCAAAACAACTGTAATTACATTAAATAAAATATTCACCATATCAATTTACATTAGGTAAAGATTTCGTAAGATAAGTTAAATTTTACATTATTGTTTAATCAAATGTGACAATTTTCATAATTTGATTTTATTATTAGACCATACATTACATATAATTTATCTAACACTGATCTGTAAAAGTTATGGAATTACATATACATTATGTCAAACTTATGGAATAATAGTTATTTCTTATGTAACAATGAAACAAATTTTAATTATATTAACTACAATATTCATCATACAATCCATTATGCACTACACAAAGGTTTAAGTTAACTTCTACATAATAGTTTAATCAAATGTGCTCTCTTCCTGCCTGATGTGATAATTATTTTTTATATATCAATTAAACAAGTGTATATCGGTATACGCAAATCTTACCGTCGCAAAGCGCGGGCCGAGAAACTAGTTGTAATTAATTATGATACTTTTTTCTTGTGGCCTTTACAATTAGGCACAGAATTGTATATTACGATAATTTTTTGATGACTAAAATTATTAAATACGAAAAATACACTTTCAATCACTGAATTTTTCATGATTAGAGACTTTTTCTTGTAGTAGTGTTAGCTATTTATCAAGGGTCAACGATCAAGTGTGGCTTTTGAGTTTGCGTACATCGGAGAAATTTAACAATGTGAATCAATTATAAAATTTGTCCTCTAGTAACAATTAATGCTTACAGAATCTCATTGACTATTGAACATGGTGTTAACGCCTTAATTGCTCATCATCTACTTATAGTAGCTGATGTTTATTAATTTACAAAAACAAGCAAGTTGCAACAACTCCATCCATCCATGTGTATTAACATCATCAGTCCTATATATATATATATATACACGTCCGTCCAAAAGGAAGAAAAAGAAGCATTATATATATTTCCCCCCTTGTAATTACTTTCTCAAACAAAGACTCGTTGAAGCAAATCATTATTATGGGCTCTAATGAAGGTGACATCTCAGTCGGTGGGTTTGGTGGTGACGGTGGGTTTGTGGTGAAGGTGACATCTCAGTCGGTCATCAAACCATCGTCGCCGACCCCACCGAGCCGCCGTCGCTTCCAACTGTCTCTTTTCGACCGCTTGATCGCCGTAGATCAATACGCAACCTTCCTTTCCTTTTACCCTGCGGCCGCCGGCGAGCCCCACGCCATCCTCCGAGGCTCGCTCTCCGAAGCGCTCTCCCGCTTCTACCCGTTCGCCGGCGAGATAAAGTTGGTGTACCCGGAACCCGGGCTCCCCGTGCCAAGTTCCTCCGTCGACTGCAACGACCGAGGCGTTGTCTACTTGGAAGCCGAAGCCAATCAGACAATGGCCGAGTTCCTCGGCGCTGCCACGCCGCCAAGCAGGCGGCTCCTTGAACAGCATTTGGCTCCCCCGCGCCCCGTGGTTTCGTCTCACGCCCAACTACTGCCTATGGCTGCGGTGAAGACGACGGTGTTCCGTTGCGGGGGATGAAAACAATTGGGAGAAGTGGGTAAAACCCTAATGCTTGATTCTTCTCATTGATCTGTTTAGCCATTTTATAGGCAGATGGATTACAGAAAAAGACAGCCAAGCTAGTACATTTTGTCTATTAGCTTGGAGAGGAAACAATTACAGACTTGAAACAAAAGAAACAGAGAGGAAGAAGTAAAGTAAAACGACACAGCTTTGGTGATGTTTGCTAGCTTCCCGAAACGCTGCCGGATTGGAGAGTGTCTTCAACCTTCGAAATCTTTTGACCGTTGGCATTGAATTTTAGGGATTCATTTCCTGTTACCCCCCCGCAAGCCGGTGGGCAGAGATTCTGGACACCGAGCTTGGACAGTAATTGAAGGAAGGGTCCTGGAGATAAAGGTTTAGTGAAGAGATCAGCCAGCTGGTGAGTTGAGGAGACATGGAATAGCTTGAGAATCTTCGACTGGAGCTTGTCGCGCACCAAGTGACAATCGAGCTCGATGTGCTTGGTGCGTTCATGGAAGGTAGGATTGTCAGCGATGTAAATTGCGCTTTGATTGTCGCAGTAAAGATGAGCTGGTTGTGGATGCAGGACTTGGAAGTCTCGTAGCAGATAAAGAATCCATTGGAGTTCACAAGCAGAGAATGCCAGAGCTCGGTACTCGGCTTCGCAGGAAGAACGCGAGACAGTTTGCTGCTTTTTGCTCTTCCAGGAGATGAGGGATTCACCCAGGTAAACACAATAACCTGTGATTGATCTGCGTGTGTCAACACAAGCAGCCCAATCAGAATCTGAGAAAGCTTTGAGTTGAAATTGACCTTTAGAGGAGAAGAAGATGCCCGTGGCTGGGGCACATTTTAGATATCTTAGGATCCTTTGAACTGCTTTAAAATGTTGAACACTGGGATTGCCCATGAACTGACTCACTTGCTGTGTTGCAAAGCTGATATCAGGACGGGTTGTTGTTAGGTAGATGAGTTTTCCCACTAAGGTTCGATAGAACTCAGGATCTTCAAAAGGTTGGTCACAGGTGCTGGTGAGGTGAGTTTTGTAGTCCATAGGAGTCGTGACTGGTCTTGAGTCCAATAAGTTCGCCTCTTCAATAATCTCAAGGGCATATTTTCTTTGAGAGAGATGAATACCTGAATTGTTCCTTGCCACTTCCATACCAAGAAAAAACCTGAGAACACCTAGGTCTTTAATGCTGAACTCGGAATGAAGAAAGTCTTTGAGTTGCTGAATGGCGTTTGAATCATTGCCTCCAACCAATAGATCATCCACATAGATGAGGATGCAGGTATAACTGGAATCAGTGACTTTGTAAAACAAAGAGTGGTCTGCTTTGCTCTGAGAATATCCAACATGCTGTAGTTTATCAGTGAGTTTAGAAAACCACTGCCGGGAGGCTTGCTTGAGTCCATAGATGGACTTCTTAAGTCGACAAACTGGATTTTTGAAACCAGGAGGTGGAGTATATCCCTTAGGGAGAGTCATGTACACCTCCTCTTGTAAATCACCATGGAGGAAGGCATTATTCACATCCAATTGGTGAATATGCCAATTCCTTAAAGCAGCAACAGCTAGAAAAGTCCTGATGGTAGTCATTTTAACAACTGGGGCAAAAGTGTCCTGATAATCAACTCCCTCCTGCTGTGTATATCCTTTGGCAACAACCCTTGATTTGAATCTTTCAATGGTACCATCCTGATGAATTTTGATTCTGTACACCCACTTATTACCAATAGGCTTCTTGCCTTGAGGCAGTTCAACAACATCCCATGTTTGATTTTGAATGAGAGCTCGGATTTCATGTTTCATAGAGTCATTCCACTCATCTGATTTAGAGGCCTCTGTATAGGTAGTGGGCTCAACATAGGAAGATAGATTCATGACAAATGTTTTGTAAAAGGGTGAGAGATTGTCATAAGAGACCATGGAAGAGAGGCCATACCTTGAGTCTTGGACATGTTGCAGAAGTGAGTGACCAGTGCTAGTAGATTGAGAGGCAAGGTAACAGTGGTAATCTTTGGTTAAATGAGTGGGGGGTTTTGATGGTCTTGCTGATTTTCTAGGCTGAATGGTTGGAAGAGCTGGAGGAGGTGAAGGAGAATCTGAAGGAGTAGAACTATTGGAAGGTGTGGTTTGGGAGGTAGAGGAGGAAGTGGGAGAGGAACTGTTTGAATGAGATGGTGTAGTTGGTAGAGGTGACTGAGGTAATGGTGTAGGTTGAGAAGTAGGAGGATCATGAAGGAGGGAACTGGTTGGTTCAGGAAGAGGGAATAGGAGATCAGAATCAGGGTTTGTGGTTGGTTGGGATTCAGAGGAATGAAATGGAAAATGAGATTCATAAAAAATTACATCCCTTGAGACAAAGACATCATGGGAATCAAGATCATAAATTTTGTAACCCTTTATACCAGGCTTGTAACCCAAAAACACACCCTTTCTTGCTCGTGGTTGAAATTTGGTTCTATGATTAGCTAAGGTAGAGGCATAACACAAACAACCAAAAACCTTTAAGTCAGTAAGATCAGGGGGGAGGTTGTACAGCTTTTCATAGGGAGTTTTGTTCTGAAGAACAGAAGAAGGAACACGATTGATAAGAAAAACTGCGTGTTTTATGCAGTCACTCCAGAAACCAGGTGGCAGGTCAGCCTGGAATTTGAGGGCTCTGGCCACAGCAAGAATATGCTGATGTTTTCTTTCCACTCTACTGTTTTGTTGAGGGGTCTCCACACAAGACATTTCATGGAGAATGCCCTGTGAATCATAGTAATCAGTCATTTCAAATTCCTTTCCTTGATCACTTCGAATCCTTTTAATTGTTGTTTGGAATTGCCTTTGCATTTGGTTGCAAAAGGCAATCAATTTTGGTCTGGCTTCTGATTTGAGTTGAAGCAGAATGACCCAGGTCATTCGTGAAAAATCATCAACAATTGTAAGAAAGTACTTGTAGGAATCATAAGAAGGGACTGGATTAGGCCCCCAAATATCAACATGTAAGAGTTCAAAAGGATGTAGGGTTACATTTTGACTCAATGGAAAAGGCAGTCTCCTTTGCTTTGCAAAGTGACAGACATCACAAGGTAAGCTCTTTTGAGTTTCAATAGAGCTACAAAATTGATTGAGATAAGGAACTTTAGAATGAGACAGGTGCCCTAATCTAAAATGCCATAAATCAAAAATGTTTGATTTTGCAACAGAGATGATCTTAGGATGACTAGGGGCTTCTAGGTAGTAAAGGCCATTGGTCAATCTAGCAGAACCAGTCACTCTCTTCTGCTCCAGGTCCTGTATGACACAAAGGTTGGAGTGAAATGTTAAACTGAGTGAATTTTGAGCAGTGAGTTTGCTGACTGAGACTAAATTGAAACTGAAACCAGGAACAAAGAGAGCATCCTGAAGAGTTAACTCAGGAGTGCAATGAATTGTGCCTTTATAGGTGGCAGGGATTTGTTGTCCAGTGGGCAAGGTTATGAACACACCAGATATAGGGATAGGATGGAGAAGGTAATCAATGCAAGAAACAATATGATCAGAGGCACCAGTGTCCAAGATCCATGTGAAACTGTGATTGGGATTGATATGGTTTGGTGCTGATAAGAAACATGTACCTGATGGGGTGGTGGTAGTTGTAAATGCAGCAGCTGTGTGAGGAGAGTGCTGCTTAGAGTTCCCAACTAGAGCCATTAGCTTGTCATAATCAGCCTTTGATAGCTTAACAGAATCATCAGGAGATGTGATTGCAGAATGAGCATATCCTCGGCCTCGTCCATATGAAGAGGTGGTAGTCCTGGGAACATAGTTGGCTGGAAAACCATGTTTCTTAAAACATTTGTCCTCAGGGTGGCCATGTTTACCACAAAAAGTGCATTCAATCACATTGGATGTTGTAGACATAGGAGGGGATCGAGTTGACATTCCTGGTGGAAAACCATGTTTGATAAAACAAGCTTCCTCTGTGTGCCCCTCTCTTTTGCAGTAAACACAGTAAGGCCTTTTTGGAGCAGTATTAGGTCTTCTGTTGATACCTTGAATGGCTAGAGCAGTGGTATCAGCAGTTACAGAAGCAATGAGTTTGCCTCGTTGAGTACCATATAACTGTCTCTCATGCTGTAACATACGTTGGAAAACCCTGTTGATGTTGGGTAACTCATCCCCAAACAGAACTTGGGAGCGGACAGCAGAGAAATTGTCATTCAAACCTCTTAAAAACTTAATGACATAGCTTGTTTCCTGATATTCATGAACCAGCTTCATGGCTTGGCATGTGTTGTGACTAGTGGTAGTACAAGCACAAGGAATTAGAGGCTGATAATTGTCCAGTTCATCACGAAGAGTAATAACCTTGCCATAGTATTCAGTAACAGTTTGTGTACCCTGTTTTAAACTACAGAGTTCTTCTTCTATTTCAGCAACTCGAACAATGTCACCAGAACCATACCTTGTTTGTAAACTCTTCCATGCCTCAGATGCAGATTTGCTCGAAAGAATGGTCTTGCGTATCTCAGATTCAACAGCTTGTTGTATCCAACTTAAGATCATAACGTTGTTTCTCACCCAGGCATTTCTCTTCGGATCTGTTTCTGCAGGTTCAGGAATGGCGCCATTGAGGAAACCCAGCTTGTTCTTTGCAGCAAGGGCGTTGAACATGGCGCGGCTCCAGTCATTGTAGTTTGTTGGGGTGAGCTTCTCGCTGACCAAGAGAGAACCAGGTTGCTCAGAACCATGAAGGAAGTATGGATCTTCCATTGGGTAAGGAGTGTTTAAGTTTTCACCAGATGCAGAAGCATCTTGATGGGTTTCGTTTGTGGCCATGGCGGCGCCCTAGGGCTCTGATACCATGAAAACAATTGGGAGAAGTGGGTAAAACCCTAATGCTTGATTCTTCTCATTGATCTGTTTAGCCATTTTATAGGCAGATGGATTACAGAAAAAGACAGCCAAGCTAGTACATTTTGTCTATTAGCTTGGAGAGGAAACAATTACAGACTTGAAACAAAAGAAACAGAGAGGAAGAAGTAAAGTAAAACGACACAGCTTTGGTGATGTTTGCTAGCTTCCCGAAACGCTGCCGGATTGGAGAGTGTCTTCAACCTTCGAAATCTTTTGACCGTTGGCATTGAATTTTAGGGATTCATTTCCTGTTAGGGGAGTCGCGGTTGGAGCTTGCCTCAGCCATCTTGTAGCAGATGCCGACACTTTCGCCATGCTTTTCCGAAAATGGGCCGCTGCCGCTCGGAACCACAAGTTGGAAGGTGTGTTGTTGTTTTTTGTTTTTTTTTTTCAAAATACACTTTCATAGTCATAACTTTCGGCGTTTGTGACAATAATAACCACTTTTAGAGAAATACCAAATATAGCCACTTCCGTCCAATACTTTAACGGTGTCATCTAACAGGGTGACTGGACTAACAACAACTATTGACGACGTAGAATATTTTATTGGAAAATAATGAAATGTGAAAATTTTTAAAATTTTATCCTTAAATTTTAATTAAATTAAATAAAAAAATTATAATAAACTCAGTCCTCAATCCTCATCCACCGTCTATTCACCTTCCCCTCTTCAAAATCAATCCGCCATGTTGTCTCTTTCTCTTTGATTTTCTCATATCCATCAACGAAAAACAAACAGATTTCTTTCTTCTTCCCATAACGATGACACCCACAACTAGAAAATTTGGCTATACTCCAAAAGTGGCTATTATTGTGACAAACAAACGCGAAAGAGTTTTGGCTATGTAGATAGATGTATTTTGGTAATTATTATTTGTTTTTGATGAAAATGATGGGACTGACTGACGACAGAGGCGAAAGCCAGTGGCAGCTCCGGCAGCAGTGTGGGTGAAGCAGAGGGCTACGCCCAGGAGTGTTTGCTGTTCCAGGCCGACGAAGGCCTTCTGAGCCGTACGGTGTCGCACGTGAGAGAACACCAGCGGTTGTCTATCGAGAAGGCGAAAGCAGGAGGAAAAGTCGAGACGCAGAGGTTGGTATTCACAGGGGAGGCCATCTCCGCCCTGAAATCCCAACTGACGATCGACCACCCAAGTCGAACGGTGGCCATCGCCGGGCTTATCTGGAAGGCCGCTCTTGACGCCCGCAGCCGCAGAGCGCCGACGGCCTCTGCAGCAGTTTCGCTAGTCAACGTCCGGCCAAGACTGAAGACGCCGCTCCCGGACGGCTGCATCGGGAACCTATACTGGATCACCACGGCGGTCGCCGAAACGAGCGGAGATCCAGGAATGGAGCACTTTGCAAATCGGGTGAAGGAGTCCGTGGGCAGGGTGGACGGGGAGCTGTTGGAGAAGCTGGCGGCGGGCGTGGAAGCGCACCGCCAGTTTCACGAGCAGCTGGAAGGGCTGGCCGCGAGTAACACCACCGACGACAGTGCCAGCCTGTACAAGTTCTTCAGCATTCTGAGGATGGGGCTGAGCCAGGTGGATTTCGGGTGGGGGAAGCCGTCGTGGGTCACCATTCTAGGGTTCACCGCTGATGATGTTGCTCCGGTTCCCAACCTCGTTTGCCTCATGGAAGCCACAGCTGGCGGTGGTGCGGTTGAAGCCTGGGTGAGCTTGGATGAACAAGAGATGCCCATCTTTCTGCAACATCCTCACCTCCTTCAGTACGCCACGGTTAATCCCAGGATCCAGCTCATACCCTAGCCTAGCTACTGATCATATGATCATTAACTAGCTAACCTAGTGCAATCTAATCAAATTCCCTCGCTTCATCTTTCCTTCCTTCCTTCCTGTTCTTTCATTCCCAGAATTAATTGAAGGAAACATCTTTTCTCAACATATTCGATGAGGACTATTAATGGCTAAATTGCAAGTTTGGTCACTCGAGTTATTAGTAAAATTCATGTTAGCCACTGTAATTACTTTATTTCAACCGTAGTCACTTAAATTGGGTTAACAATTTAAGTTTGGTCACTGGCCGTTAGTCTCCGTTAATTTTTGCTGATGTGGCGGTCAACTCTAATAGTTGACCGTTAAATGAGTGACGTGGCAATTAAAAAATTAATAAAATAATTCAATTTAATTATTTTTTATTTTCCACCTAATTATATATTATAAAAATTAAAAAAATCCTAATTCCTTTAATTATTATTTTCCACCGCCCGTCGTCGTTCCTCTCCCCTCCGGTCGACGACCTCTCCCGGCCGGCCAAGCCCCGCGCCATCACCGTCTTGGGCCTCCTCAATTCCGCCAGAGGCCGACCCCCCACCACCGCATCTTCTGCTACTCTGCTCTGTTGATTTCGCCGAGTTGATATCGCCGAGTCAATATGTTCACCCTATTTTAGGGGCTGCGAAATGTAGTTCGAAAGAATGATAAGAATTGTATGTTCACCCTATTTTTTAAGTTGATTATTTTAGGATTTTGAGTTTAAAAAATTAAGACTCGAGTTCCACTCATTAAAAATTAAAGTACAGTGTATTATACCCCAAATTCCGATTAATTCGTGTTATTCATAGAGTCCATGAACCATTCTTTCTTCTTCGGGTCATCTTGTTTACCAATAAGTTGCGCACATTTGTTTCCCCGTAATTGACATCGTGTAAGGGTACGCTTGGGGCAGCAAAAAAATCCAATCCTTGTCGGAAAGGGTTTCCGAACTGGATCGAACCGTGAGGAGAATGTTAGTAGAGAGTTTTGGGGTGGAGAAACATATGGAGGAACACCTGAGCTCCACACAATACTGGGCAAGGATCTCGAGATACGAAACTCCCAGCAGGAGCACCGCCGGAGGAGATCCGGAACTTGGGCTTTCCGACCACCTCGACAAGACTATGGTGAGCATTCTGTGCAACAATCAAGTCGCGGCGGGCTGGAAATTCAGACCAAAAACGGCGAATGGTTTGGAGTCCAGCCCTCTACTCCTTGCTCTTTCGTCGTCATGGCTGGGGAATCTCTTTACTAAGTAATGGTGTTTGTAAAGTTCAGTCAGTCCTTATTGTAAAATTGGTGGCCTTCCTATCCACTTCTCCTCTCCATTTTATGTGAACAATAAAAGATTTACATGAATGACTCAATCCGCCTAGGCCTCAACCTTAGCTATAAATACACTCAATTAGTACCCTAGAAATAGCCAGTATCATTGTTATTCAATTAATACCACAGAAATAGAGACAACAAACATCATCACATAAAGTAAAGCTAACACACAACACAATGATATTATGTTGTGGCATGATGAGTTGAAGTTCGATGATCAGTACTACTGATCACATGATTAAGTTTCAAACCCCATAATGTGCATGCAGTAGGGAAGCGTCTTTTACACCAGGCTCTCTATAAGCCAAATCAAAATACTCTTGATAAGCAAATGGCTTGAACCTCATGGGGTTGTTTTCGTCGATCAGTTCTTCTGGAGCTTTTATAACGTACTCTGGCTTCGGGACTGTGAAAAGACCAAAGGAGTATCTCGTCTTACCATGTAACTCACACAACGTAACCTTGTGCTTCGGACAGTGAACTCTACCATTCAGCCATACCTGTAAAGACAAATAAAATACATGGAATTAAGGACATGTTTATTACATGCATAATTTGCTTGGATTTTCACCATTGATCTTCACAATTTTTATAATTTGATTTCTTTAGTTGTCAACTCCAAATAAGATCAATTAAGTCCTTATGACATTCAAGTAGGTTCTCTATTGTTAAATTTGATTCATGTATATTGTTTTTAAGACTAAACTTTTGGTTCAAGTACCCATATAGCTAGCCTCACAATTTGATCTCTTTGGAATCCATAACTCTAAAGTATACTTAGTTTTTCTACCGTTAATGTTATTACTACAGGCAAAAATTGTTCCCCCCAATGCTTGTATAGCATTTGTTTGGTATATGGTATCTATATTTTGAAGTAAATTGTAATAAACCATGCCAATCATGTTAATGTTGAATAAAAAGTTCAGTTTATATATTCATTCGAGGAATTTAGTGATAGAAAAAAATAATAATTGAAATAACGATATTGAAATCTTTTCCATTTTGATTTTAATCTTATTATTGTCCCCCCTTGTGAAGTCTTAATCCTGACTTCGCCCCTGCTATATAGAAAAGCCAACTAATTAATTAACTCGCTTCCAAGAAGCGAAATAAGATCGATCGACTTACATGAAGAGCATCGCCGATGAGAATGACATGGGAGCTGGGAGAAGTGGGTTTGAACTTAACCCAATCCCCTCTCTTGGTTTGAAGCTCCAGTCCCCCAACCCCATTTTGGCAGAGTATGGTCATGAAACTCTTATCCGTGTGAACTCCCAGCCCAAGTTCTTCTGCCGCAGCATAATTATTAGGTTGGAGAGCTTCGTATTTCATGACCCTGAACCTGTACGTTGTGGAGCTCAGATGCTCCTCCACATATTTCTCAAGCCCAAAACTCTCCAGCAACATCCTCCTCACGGTGCGATTGAATTCAGTCACCACCCCAGCCATGGACTGAATGTTGTTGCTGCAAGCAATCAAATATGTGCATTTCGTTAATCCATTATATAGCTATATATTAGAATCTCAATCAGTACGTACGTAGTTAATTATGAAAGTAATAATATGATGATTCTGATCACCAGAAACTTGGGTTTCCTCCATGGGGCCACAATGGGTTGGTGAAGGTTTGGAGCACGCCGAGCGAATTGGGATCTTCAATCCCAAAGCTCTGGTAGAAACCATTGGGCGTCGCCGCGTAGCCATCTTGAAATGACTCTGAAGCGCCGCTCTGCTGCTTGGTTTGCAGAGGCAGGTCGAAAAGCTCTTCCAATGAAGCGAAAACGTCACGCCGAAGCTCGCCAGTGTTAATAACCGTGCTGTCGTCTCCCAAGGATGCCTCGAAGCAGCCGTACTCTTCCAGTGCTTGTCGAACTTGGAGTTTCAAGGAATCCCAGCAAGGAGTGCCTGGTTTCGGATCTGATGAGAAATCTATGAATGGAAGCCCGAGAGACTCGTCAGAAGAACCCATTGAAGCGATTTGCTGATATAGAAGCTTCTTTTTTTTTTTGCTAGCTCTTTGACAGAATGATGCTCCTGGTGTTGGTGTAGCCTGCCTTGCCATCATGCTTGTGTATTTATTATGGCGCACATCGTCCGTCCTTTGAATAATTATTATTTTTTGGAGGGGTTAATTAGCACTTCTAGCTAGTCATCATGTGCATGCCAGCTGCACACAGCATTAATTAAGGAATCATTTTGTCTCCTTCGTTGCTAGGCCAGAATTGATCTCTGCGGGTTGGATCCAGTCCTTAAGCCTCATTGCTTAAGGAGGTTCTTAAACTATTTTTATTGGTTGATACTAGATTAGGTAGTTAATGATGGTTAGTAGTTAATATTTAGTTTGAATAAATAAGATATTATAAAAATATAATTAAAATTACTCATTAATGATTCTCTTTCTCTCTCTCCCTTGATCTTCTCCATAACCCTCTCTCTCCACTACAATGAAAAGGAAATTCGAAATTAATTTAATTAATTATTATTATTTAATATTTAATAAATTCAAACTTAATAATTTATTAATTTTTAAAATTAAAATTAAAAATTAAAAATATATGCTCTCTCTTCGTGGCAACTTGCAATGAATTATTAACATTTTGCAATGACATTATCAGCATTTATGAAATGAATCGTTATTATTATACCTCATCACTATTAACGATTTCAATATACTTATCAATTTTTTACAATTATATTATTAACAATTTTGAATCAATTGTTACCGTTTTATGGTTTCGTCATCAACGCCTATGAATGAATCATTAAAATTATGTAACATGACCATTAACAGTTTGAATAACAATATCATTGATTTACAACATCTTTAGTACTAATGATTCACATTTTCACATCATGTTTATAACTATCTAGTCATGGCCTCTTTCAATGATTTCTAATGACATTATCAACGGTTTATGATTAATTAATATTATTTTACATTATCAATCTCAATGATCATAAAGCACAATATTGATTTTCAACATCTTGGGTACTTGTGACATAGTGCACCTGTGTGATTCAGTCAAACAAACATTGTCAAGAAAAATATTAGCTCAAGCAAACCAACATTCACGCCTCAACACCAAACTTTTAATAACAATACAATAAAGCATTGATAATGAAAAGTATTTCGTTGAAAATAAACACAAAACATAAATATAATAATGTCCGACTTCAACATTATAAAATGATATCAAGCTATTAATAAAGATATTAAAAACCATTAATAACAAATGAGCAAGTCACTGATAAGGAAATAAATTTTGTAATAAAAAAATATTAATAATATTCAAATTAATTGTTTAATGTCAAATAGCACTAAAACACATTAATAACTAACATGTGTTTAATGGATAATGCAACCAAAAACTTTGATAATGATAGCAACTAATAATTGTTAAGTACCTTACTAGATATTATTAATATCTTATTTTTCAAACATTGATAATGCTTATACACACCCATTAATAATGACACCAACTACGTTACTAACTTAGCCTGAAAGGTTAATAACCATAGTTATATCTTTAAACACAAATCACTTTTGCTAATATCATAAACAAACGAATACCTAACAAGTATGCTGCTTGATAATGACATTTGACAAAGTTACAAACATACACGAAAAAATGTTAATAATACAAATCAATGAAATAAATTGTTGCTAATTGTTGTATTGTGCTTGCAAAAAACATTGATAATAGCACTTCAAATGATTATAAATCATTGCGAACCAAATTGATAATACGATGTAATAGTAAATGAACTTCAAGTACCAACAAATTGAAAACACAATTTCACTTTTGCTAATGTTACAAACAAAACAAAACATAAAAAGTTAATAATGTCACATAACATTATTAAAAAACCTGTCGAACAACATTAATAATAACATAAACGAATATCTAAAAACGAAAAATCCTAAACCCATGCAACGAAAAGTCCTAATGATGATTCAAATTATAAATATTGATAATGTCATTACAAAATGTTGATACTAAATTGAAAGTTGCCAAGATGTGGGAGATGCCATATATTTAAAATTTTAAATTTCCATTTTAAAAAAGGAAAATTACTAAATTCGGATTTCATTAAATAAAATTAATTTTTTATTTTTTTATTATAATGTAGAAAGAGGGTTATGGAGAAAATCATGGGAGGAGAGAGAAAGAGAACAAATAATTAATAATATTAATTATATTTGCATAATCTCATTTACTCTTAACTACCTATTAACTACTAACCCCCTTTAACTACCTAATCCACTATCAACCAATAGGAAGGCTTTAAGATTCTCCTTAAGGAATGAGACTTAAGGACTTGAACTCAAGCCCTAAAATATAACAATACCAATAATAATATAGTAATACGTTAACACAGCTATATGTATTAAAATAAGAGCAATTCTTCAGTGCACCCGGCGTACAGCCCACGTGGTGCACCGGACCAATCAATTTTTGCCACGTATTAAATAGCCCAATTTTATCTCGGACTCTCTCCAATTAACCCCTTTCTTCTTTCTTTCTCTTTCTTCTTTTCTTTCCCGTAGAAAATAGCAAGTGCACACACCAGAACTAGAAATCACCATCGGAGAGTTTTGGAAGGATAGCGACGACGAAGCACAACCAATAAGAGAATAAAGGGATTCATTGCTTGGTGAAACGTCGACTCTTGATGCGCCGGTAGAAAATAGGGAGATGGTCAGATGGAGAAGGATTTTCAAACCGAATTAATCCTGGGGATTCCATATATAATAACTGGTTAGATGAACCCTAAACTCGTCGGGGAATTAATTACAATGGAATCAAGGAAAATTACTTTTGGTGGGCTTGGGGATGTTGCAGCGAAGATGAGCCTTGGTGGATGGATTTTGAATCGGCACCGAAAGATAACGTCGCCGGAGGAGGAGACCGATATACTTTGGCGGGCGGCGGTTCGTGCGCAAATCCTGCTTTTCCATTTCCTCTATTTTTTTTTTATTTTAAAATTTTGAGTGTAAAATGAAGTGCAACGTGGCGCTTATGTATTGGGGCGGAGTACAGCTCACGTGGTGCGCCGGGAGCACCCAAGAATTTCTCTTAAAATAATTATACAAAATAACGATACAATTTTCCTCTTTCACCTAACGCCGGCCGGACTCGATTTCGGATTGGGACAGATTGGAGGATATGCATGAATTGATTTGATGGAAGAACCGTTGGAGTGGATATAGTGATTTTTAGTAGTTGTTTTTTCTTAATTTAATTTGCTAAACATTGTCGATTTTCGGGGAGAAATGTACGACCTTACACTACAAAAAATAATTAGGTTATAAAACAAACAACATGTGCCCTTACTACCAAGGACTTATGAGTTATGATTCAAAATTGTGTGCAATATCGATAAAATTGTATTCATTTAACTGCATACATACTAAAATTCAAGTTAATACGATTCTATCATAAGTTTAGCGCTGATCAATTCTATATATCATTAGTTTATCATAGCTACGTACGTAACTTAAAAGAATGACTCTAATTAATTCATTTCCCCTATGATCTTCTGCACTTCTTTGTGGTTTATTATTATTTCTATACATTTCCTCCTAGCTCGTGCATAGCGCCAAATACTGCAGGAGCAATCAAATCTTGGTAATTTCATCTCACCAAAAAAAAAAAAAAAAAACTTGGTAATTTCACAACTATATTATTATTCATGCAAGTTGATACTGAATCGAAGTTGGCCATTATATGAAGAAGAAAAAAATCCTGAATCGAATCATATATACAAGCAGACAGTCACGTGCAATAACCCCAAAAACACTCATATACATCTGATCACCCTTGAACAACCACAACTTAGTGTAGTTAATTACAAGTTTAGAACACAACTTGAACTTGATCAGCTACCTTGATCTAAGTACTCCAACAGCTTAGCTCTATATATATATATATATATATATATATATATATATATATATATATTCATGGTCCTTCTCGTTTTCCGCGTGGGTCAACTTAGGTGTCCTTTTCAACAATGTGAATCAATTCTTAATGGAGGGACTAGAGCAGATTGAGCGGATTGGAGCCAGTAACGTCCAAATCCAAGCAAAGATTCGATGGTCATACTCGAGGAAGCTTCGTTAGGAGTCCAATTTGTGTAATTGGTTGTGGTACCCATTACTTTTTCCGGTCCGGTCATGGTGAAAAGGAAAACTCTCGTAGATTTGCCATTTTGTGGCTAGTGGTTTCGTCATTTTAAAGTTGAATAACTCGTCGGAGTATATATCCATGACGGGTTTTGATTGCCAATCAGTGGCGAAGCTATGTTATGTAGGGGTTATACTCCTGCTTAACTTGGAAATACAGATAACTTTACATATAAAATTCGGAATAAATTTAGAAAATAGACTACTCGTTAAGGCCTTAGCCCCCTTCCTGCCCTCCCCAATTATCACGATTCAAAGTCAGCCACTTCATTTAGATTTCTGGCTTCCCAACTATTGACAATGTTTGTTAGTGCTAAATCCAAGAAGTAAAAATAAAAAGATAAATTAATATCTTTGAGTCATACTTTTTTGGGACGACCCCAAAATATGAAGCATGCAGGCCCATTAGCGTAATTGGGCGTACGTGCAGCAAGATATGAAAGCCCATCAAATCGACCGTCTCTCGAGTCTCGACCTCCAGGCATGCATCCGCTGCCAAAATAAAAATATGTGTCTGCGTTAGCTCTTGGTAGGGTCTAGCGGAAGAACAAAACCAAGAGAAAAATTAAAGAACTTTTACTTAATCCGGCGACCTCGGGGACGTAGGGGAAGTATGATGCTTACGGAGGCAACATCAAGCCGAGATCAGTTCCCGGAGGACCTGACCTACGCAATATAATCTTGCTCCGGCTTCCCTTCTCCAGCCTCCGGCGATTCCAGTGCTGATGATACCCTTACGGCTTACGGTTCTCTCATTCGCGTGAGTTGCTGGAGAGCAAAAC